GATAAGAATAAAATACAATACCAATATAGCCCTATCGTTGAAAAAATTCGCTTATTTTTGCTAGCCTCGAGTTTTGCTTAGTAGAAATGGCTAAAAAGTGCGCAAAATACGTACGGAAATACGGTATTACAGCACCACGTATATTGGACGACCACCTGTCTAAAAGACCACTTTTTGAAGGAACCGTGGGTGGTCGCCATAGACAGGTTTTACTGTACATAATAATCAAATTAATAGGCTAAAAGCAGTATTAAAGCAGTTAAGATGGGATTGCAAAGCTTCATTATTGTTGTGGTTTACTATCTGTTTTATCTAATAATTTTTGAGTTAATAAAATAGTATAATTAATTAACTAAACTTTTAAACATTGATTTGAAGTATAATGTAACCAAATTACATCACAGTATTGCGTCGCTTGAAGTACGTAGGAACAGTAAACTGTAGGATTACAATACACATGCATATTATGCAGTCTTTGGAATCGGACTGTATAATCAGTATTATTTTTTATGTTTCTTTTACGTTGGTATTTCCGCACCTATCTCCGTTGTATGTCAAGTACTAATATGAATACGTGACTAACCTAAAAATATTAAATTCTTCATGTATTATATAAATTGCAATGAAAATTCCTTTGGAACAAGCGGCATGATTCCGTTGATCCATTATACGGAAATATGAAAAACAGAGTGTTAATAGTAGTCGTTTATTCTAACTTTTTTGAAAATTTGCTTTTCTGTATAATATAGAAAGTTTAAATTTTATTTCAGGTTTTATGAAGGCGCAAATCCAATTCTTATGGTAGCTGATCCTGAACTGCTAAAAAATATTCTAATAAAAGATTTTCATGTATTTACTGAAATGAGAGTAAGTTGATTCTTTTATCCCCATCAAATTTATGTAATTTCGAGAAATCAACTATTGTCTACGTTTAGGGGTTAAGGTTTGGAGATCGTTTCATAGACAGAATGCTTTTCGTTCAAGGAGGAGAAAAATGGAAAGAATTAAGAACTATTATGTCGCCTACTTTTACATCAGGAAAATTAAGAATGGTATATTTATTATTAATTTAAAAATCGATAAGTATAAAATACTTCTAAATATTAAGAAAGTTATTTATTAATATAATAAATTACAAAATTATTCATTAGTAAAATTTATTATACACGAAAATTCATTTTTCAGATGAACAAATTAATCCACGAATGTACTGAAACTCTTACAGAAAATTTGGAAGAAGCAGCTGATAACAAAATGGAAATCGATGTTGGAAAGTAAGATTTTATTGTTAAATTATTTTTGTAGAAATTTTAACAATAAATAATTTAGATGTAACTGTAAATCATTGATATTAACAAATTCGTTATAGAACGTTGTTTTATCGTAATTTAGAAAGTTTTAATTATATTCCAAGTTGGTTTTTATGAAAATGAAAAGTTTTTATTAAGGTCCAACTTCGATTCTTATAATGGCCAATCTTGAACTGTTGAAAAATATCGGCTATTAAATGAACAACAGGCTGTGGATAAGTTAGTTTTCTATATTTGATTTATTATATTTAATAAGCTTTATTATGATTGTGGTAAATTAAATAATCAAACATTTTTGATAAGCGGAAAAAATAGTTATACATTTTCATAAACAGATTTAAAAACGGTTTATTATTATTATTATTATTATTTTGTTGATATTAGCACAATATTAAGATCAAACCACCAATCATGCGATTTAATTTATCTGTATTAATCACGCCGTATACCTCAATTCTGGTGTTTCTTTGTAACTTTTCTTTGTAACTTGAGTATTATAAGAATGTTAATAACATGTTCGTGTAAATTAAACCCTCGATTTAACAAACTTTGGATTTAAGAGACAAAAAGTTATTGTTTTAGAGAAGTTTAGAATCGTTTGTTTCAATAAACTTTAAGAAATTAAAGCATTTTATTCTTTTTTAAAATAAATTTAAATGAAAAACAATAATGTTTACATTAAAAGAACTTTGTGTTAACCTTAAGAAATAATAGAAAATAAAAAACTGTGACCGAAACACTTCATAGTTTCTATCGTAAATTCTTTTTTGTATTGTAAACAGACATTAATTTTTGTTGTGGGTATAAATTATTCAATGTACTATACATTGTAATGTAAATTAAAATGTAATACATCCTGCACATTACAAGTTCGTTATTAATACAATAGAACCTGTCTATCTTGAATTTCAAGGGAGCGAGAAAAAAATTCGAGATAGACAGGCAGGTTTCGAGATTTAGAGGTTCGTACATGGTAAACAGTAATAGATTTGATTAGAGGTATGGTATTTTATCAATACAGCAACAAGTACAGATATAAATTTAAATATGATAAAAAATTGCAGGCATTGCTACGATATTACAAAACATAGACTACATTAAGTTAAAGAATATTGTTTCAGATATTTTGGTGCATACGCGATGGATGTAATTACTAGATGTTCGTTTAGTATGAAGGTCGATTCTAGAAAAGATCCAAATAATCCATTAGTTACGGCTGTCAGGAAAGTTGTTAGTCCGACATCGTGGAGATTTATGCTCGCTAGTAAGTATGAATATTTATCCATTATACATGTAAAATATAAAATATAAAAGAAAGATTAATTAACAATAGAATTCTTTTTAATATTTTCAGTTTTATTTCCTGATTTGGTAAAATTAATACGGTTATCTGTGTTCACTCCTTCCATAATATCATTTTTTGAGAATCTTTCGACGCAATTAATCAACGAAAGGAAAAATTTGAGAGAAGTAAGAATCTTTATTCAATTTGTTCAATAACCAAAGAAATTCATTCATTTTTTTCTAGTTTAAAGCAACAATAAAACATAAATGTAAAGTTTAAACATTAATATTTTTAAAAATTACTGTTTACAACACATCTTACTTTTTTGTCTGAAATTTTGTAATATTTGTCAACTCAAAAACGTTAATACTAATATAATGTAATCGTGTTCGTCAGTGCACTAGATGACGTGGCAAAAGTGTTATGGGAGACACGACGTCATTTACTAAGCGTATATAATTCGAAGCTCACATGATCCTGACAGCCAAATTACATCTCAGGCGCTCATAAAAATTCTTAATTATTACATAGTATATGTTTATAATTAAATTCATTCTATTTTCTGTTAGGATCAGAAACCAAAGGATTTTCTTCAATTGTTATTAGATGCAGAAAGTGAAGATTCGAGTAAAAAGAATGGAAAGAAAAGTAACATTTAACACGAACATACTGATATCATAAACGTCGTATATTCTGAGTGCAAATTAATTTTACTCTTTTTTTTCAGAATTAGAACTAGAAGAAGTGGTTGCACAATGCATAATGTTTTTTATTGTCGGTTATTTTACTACAGCCGTAACGATTACTTTCGTTGCTCATCAACTTGCGATAAAACCGGAAATCCAAGAAAAACTTCTTAAAGAAATCGACGAATCTTTACAAAATAAGGTAAACGTATATATCAATATTTTCTGATTCATTTCTTATGACTGAAGAAACTTAATTATATTTACAGAAAGAAATAGAATACGACGATATCGCTGGACTGAAATATTTAGATGCAGTGGTGCAAGAGACCCTTCGATATTATACTCCAAGTCCAAGGTATATTTTTAAAAATTGTATATTATAAACATAATAATATATATATTTTTATTCAAATTTATAAATTAGATTGGAACGCCGTTCGGTAGAAGATTATAAATTAGGGGATACGGGAATTGTAATTCCAAAATCGACAATATTTGCTGTTCCGATCTACTCACTCACTCACGATCCTCAATATTTTCCAGAACCGGAGAAATTCGATCCGGAAAGGTAAATTCTTTTTTCAAATATGATTTTAATATGGAAAAATTGTTTTGACGATTTTCGTTTACAGATTTATGTCCGAGAATAAGGATACAATACTTCCATTTACAAATATTCCGTTCGGTGAAGGTCCAAGAACTTGTATTGGTAAAAGATTTGCTTTGATGGAAATCAAAATGGGTTTGGTTAAAGTATTACAAAATATTACATTTAAACGAGGAGTTAATACAAAGGTAAACAAATTTCGAGTTAATTGAAGTAATATATTCAAAGAAACTAATATTTGTATTTTATGCTATTTTTAGGAGGAAGTTGAACTTGTTCAAGGGAGAGGTCTTCATCGTCCAAAAAATGTCATGCTGAAGATCGAACGTAGAAATTAATATGTAATAAAAGTATGGAAATTTCATTTTATTAGCTCATTTTCCTGAATTAAAGCCACGTAATTATATTTATTTGTGGCAAACTTAAAATAACAAAGAATTAATTATTTTGTATTGAAATAAGTTCAATTTGTAATCAGTGTGTTCGAAGGTGTATTGAAAAATTTAAATTATAAGAAAATAAACATTTAAATCCTTATTATAAACTTTTAACATTTCAACTCATTATAGATTTAATTCATATTTAAATCAATTAAATAACACAGGATTACTCTACTCTTTTCTTGGACTAATACTGCAGAGAATAAAACAAAACTAAAAATATTCATGAATAAATTAATTTTTAGAAATATCATTTTTAACTGTTAATTCTAAGATATTAATTTTTTAAAATTAGAGCCTACTGTTAAGTGAAATGAAGGACAATCATGTGACTAAATAGCCATAACCATACAATAGAAATATAATTAAAGGTTTCATTTTCTGATTACTTTATCTTTTCTCAACTCTAATTTAAGAAATGCATTCTTTGGATAATGAAGGACTTTGGCGGCATCTAGTTCAGGTCGATCCTAAAATCAAATTAAAGTAAATTTTTAAAATGCTGTTTCAACAGGCATTCATTTATATTGTAGTCATTACCTTTGTGTTCGTTCCTCTTCTTAATCTGACACATTGTAAAACTTTAATCAGAGCTATTTTTATCTCTAGCATGGCAAATTTCATTCCTAAACAATATCTAGGTCCTATTCCAAATGGTAAATTAATATAAGGAATGATATCTTCTTTATTTTCTGGTAAAAACCTAAATATATATATATGAAATATGAATAAAACAATTTTGAAAGCGTATATATGAATTTAGAACTTGCCTTTCGGGAATACATCTATCAGGATCTGAGAAATATTGAGGATCCCGACATAAAGCGTAAATAGGCATGCCTACAAGAGAATTTTTTGGGATCAATATTCCTGTATTACTTAGCATATAATTTTGTGTTGCCACTCGTTCCAGCCTGGAAATATATATATTTTTAATTGAGGAGATGGCTATTTGAAAATTTTAAGATTTAAACTAGACAATACACAATATATTATAGAATATAATTTAGAAACCATTATATATAGATACTATATAAGTATAATCTGTACAGGATACATTGAACAATACTATATATCTTAAAATCCTCATCTTAAAGAATAGATTTATATATTTTATATGTACGTATATCATAATCTATAAACTAGAATTTAAAAACTAATAATCAGACATAAGAATAAATATTAAGAATAAGAAGATAATAATTTTGAATACATCTTACAATTTATTTTTTCAAGTACAGTATATAGAGACAAATGTATACAATACACAAAGCTATATTTTTTCTATGCATAGATTTTTAAAAATAAAAGAATAAATGATTAAAATAATACAAATTTCATTTAAGTTATAGTGTATTAACGTTTTCCTATGGTATACGTTTTTTAAATAATACCTCGGTGATGGCGTATATAATCTGAGTATCTCTTGAAGAAACGCGTCTAAATATTTCATCTCAATAACTGATTCATAATCCACGTCTTCCTATAAAATAATTTGTTAAAACATAAATTTAGACAGAATAAACTACAATTTAAGATAAAGAGTTATTAAAATTTTACTTTATCCTTAAACGTTTCATCAATTTCTTTTATAAGTTTTTCTTGGATGTTTAGATGTACAGCAAGTTCATACACAGCAAATAAAAATGTAGCATTTGTTGTAATGTAGCCTGCGATGAAGAACATGATGCATTGGGCTACTATATCCTCCAATTCTAAACCTAACCAAATCACAAATCAGTTTATGTGTAGTTTTAAACAATGTTAAATTATAAAACTATAAATAAATAATATGTTCTACTTTTCTTTTCGGCATTATTAACGTCTCTCTCTAGATTTAAAAGAGACTGTAGAAAGTCGTTTGGTTTATCTTCCTGTTTAAAATAAATTTCCATTAAATGTAAATGTAATGCAATTTATAATAATCATATTTACATGACACATACATCTTTCATTTTCTTCCTTTGCTCGATCACTTCCATTATGACTTGCTTAAAAAATTGGGATGTGGTAGGATCAAAGAATGATAAACGAAGGGATTTAGCCAAACCAGGGAATAAAACTTAAAAAAATAAAAATAAAAAAATGTTTCCTTATAAAAATTTTATGATTTTTAAATTCTATTTTAATATTAATAATTTTACTTGCTTGATAAATAAACTCTCCATGGAACAGGACTCATAGTTTTTCTGACAGCCTTTACAAAAGGATTACTTGGATCCTTTCGCGAATCTAATGTAATACCAAAAGCGCATTTAGCAGTAACATCTGTAATATACGCACCAAAATACCTAAAAATTACATATATATTTATAATTAAGTAAAATATAAAGAGTTTTTTATGCTATACAGACCTACATTTGAAATTGTAATAGAAATTAAGTAATATTTTACTTCTGTAATTTAATATTTGTTATATTATAGGCTATACATATTACTAACCTAAATAAAGAAAACAGTTTATATTTATTTTGAAGCCGATTTTCTACCGAAAACAAATTTTTAAATTTTCTTACATAGCTATTAAATTACATTATAGTTTAAACAGAACTTACTCATCAATATCAACTTCTATTTTATTTCCAGCTGCTTCTAAGAAATTATCGATTAATATTTGGGCACATTCATTAATTAACTTTGTCATCTAAAGGATATAAGTCTACCTCATTAATATCGTATTTAATTGATGCAGTACGTGTGTTTAAATACTTACCATCTTCATTTTACTAATAGTGAAAGCGGGAGTCATAATACTTCTCATGTCTTTCCATTTTTTACCGGTTTGTACAAAGAGCATCCTGTCAATAATTGGATCTCCAAATTTAAGATTCTAAATAATAAAACTAAAAATTGTTATTTGTATATTATACTATAAAATATAACTATAATGTTTTCTTTTGCATTTCATACTCTTAAATCCATAAAAGATTGAAAATCTTTTACTAAAATATCTTTCATTAAATTTGGATCAGCTATCATAAGAACTGGATTTGATCCCTCGTAAATTCTGAAATGAAACAAATTATATTTTTAATAATTTAAAATTTCAGAATCCTCTCAAATATAAAACTTCTTTACCCAAAAATTTTTCCGTATTTCTTGTACCATTTCTGCTCACGTACACCATGAGGCTAATATAAGTATTCATTTTCGTAAATAATAGCAATAAAGATGCAAGAAGTTTTGTAATAAATTTGTAATGAAAAACTTACAGTGCTAAAATCTAAACGCATTGATCCCGTGAAAATCATTGGAGGCACTTCAGGTACTCCGAGTTTACTCCAATATCCAAAATATCGTGTTAAATAACTAAAAACGAAATCAAAGTATTGATATTTACTTTAATGGAATACGGTAACTCAACACATAGAATCCTCTCGGAAGGCATTCTACTGTCTAAGAAGGATGCTTTCCGAGAAAACTCTGCAGGAAACTATCCTCTATTTAGGTATTACGAACGTGAAGAAAATCCAGAAAACTGTACGTAGTTATTTCTTTAGTGAGGCACGTTACCGGTACTGCCTGCTATTACCCCGCACCACAGAATAGTTTTATACTTTATTTGAGGAAAGGTAGTTTAGATTTTTTAATGTCATAATCCATTTAGTAGCCAACATATGGAAGTATGAATTGATGTAAAAACAGCTAAGTTTTCACTAACGGTTCTCGCAATAATGACTAAAATTTAACTTGTGTCTTGGATTCCCTCAGACCCCAGCTTTCATCTGTCTACTCTTCCTTAATCTCGAAAACGGAGTAAGATAGATGAAAGCCGACACTAGATATGGAAAAATTAAAGGCAGGAAGTCCCGATTTAACTATATAAGAATTTTCTATGCAAACAGGAAGTCACATTATTTCAATTCAAAATTTTTCCCTTAAAAGGAATTAGATAAATGACCTGCTCGACTCTATTGCTAACAAGAAAAGTATGATATAAAAAGACAAGACACTATTAATTTGAGGTGGATAGCGTATATTTTAAATTAAATAAATTAAAAATATATGATTAAAAATTGCATCCTGGCATTGTGACGATGTTCAGTAATAGAATATAAATTTTGTTAATTCTAGATAATGCTCCTAGCCATCTAACAAAGCCTAATAATTTGTGTCGAAGCGTTAACAGTGTTTTTCTTACCGTTTAATACTACTTCATTACTCCAGCTTGTGGACCAGAGGAGTGATTTCAACATTTAAAGCATATTACGCACTTAAGCCTTTTATCCCAATTGAAAAACAACAGAAGAATCTTTAATAGAATTTTAGAAAAATTTTACCATAAGAAATACTCTTAAAAACATTAATGAAGCGCGGAGAGAAGTTACGAACTAACACGAGAGCTGTTTGTCAAAGATGACTTTATGAGATCCCCAACAAAAAAGTTAAGAAGATCGTCCTCGTCCAATTCGGCGGTCATCTCTCTGTCTAGTCCTGTCAGTCACCCTGTTCCTACTAATCCAGCCGCTGCCTAAACTAAAGGATAATGAACGTGAAACAATTGTGATTATTAATATCGAGGATTATTACAAAGAGTAGAAATAAGAGACTTTCCTTCTCCTTTCAGTAATCACCAAATTTCAACCGCGAAACTTATGTTAGGCGCGAATAAATTATAGACTAGTCTGCTAGAATATAGTAACTCCTATAGGTAATTTATTAAATGTTATTTGTTTTATTGAATTCAGTAGTTGAGTGTCTTACTACCGGGCCTTCTTGTCTCTAAAGTTTCCCTCCTCCATCCTTTACTCCGTAAAAGTCCTATATACGTGACCGCTCGCGCGGTTTGAAGGCTCCTGTGAGCCGAAAGTCACAGATGGTATCAGACCTGATCCGAGGGGGTGCAGCCGTCCTGTTCACAATTACTTCTGAATGCGTAAATGATTTCCCGTATGTTATTCTCCACGATTATCACGAGTTTCGATTATTGCGGTGTTTTTTCCTAGCAACACTAAACTCAATAACTAGGCTTTTCCTGTACTTTATTACTTTAATAATTGAAGAAAATGTCAGTCAGGGATGTTGTCATGAGTCGCATTAAGTTAAATTGTTTTTAAGCGAGCTGCAGCATTATAGCTCAAAAAATATTCCTACGGACATTTAACAAATATTCGTGTGCAAATCTAACAATACCTCTCTTAAACTGTAATTTGTTATATGGATTTATATTAAAATATTGCTAATTCATTTATGAATATCTGGACTGGATTGGATGGATGGGATAAGGTAATGCAACACGTGTCGATCTGTTACGAAGTGCCTCCCGGGAGAACTTTTTGATAAACTGGCCCATATTTTAGTATTAGGCAAGTGAAAAAAACCCGGAAAACTCCACGCGACCAATCCATTGGTCAGTCGCAAACCCACGACCAGTGTTCAGTGATTTTAACCACTGAACACTGGTCAGTGGTTAAAATCACTGGTAAGCTCTTGAATATCTGGACAACATAAATATATTTTATCAAAATTATGCTAAGGGCCTCATTGAAACATTTAGAGGACAAATGAGGTCCATAGTGTATATGTTGTGCACTCCTCCATTAGTCCCTTAACCATTCGGCAATCGAAAGCTTCAGATTGATATCTCATAAGTCAGTTGAGATTTTTTGTTTCACACAATAAACTTTAATCATTTTTAAGTTGTTAAGTTGTTAAAATTGAAATTTTAAAATAAATTAGAAAGTAATACAATCAAAACGTAGGAAATGAGTTCAAATAAATATAAATTTAATACAAGTAGAAAAACAAATATTATTAGTGAACAAGTTTATAGGTCAATTCATAATCAGCGTTAACCTTGACAAAGAGATAGAATTTTCGTCAAATTCAGAGCATGTTTATCGTTATAATTTGTGATTTGCTAAACATAGAAAAATTGAATAAATATATATATGTCAGTGTACATCAAATAATCTATTTTATATATTAAATAATAAAATATATTCAGGTTATTTATAAAATTTGAAATGATTAAAGTTATTATGATTTTTACATTATTGTTAAAAACAGTAAGCCATAACTGTGCTAAAAAGCGTCTTTATTTTTTCCATAAAAATAAAATAGTGTTTAAGTCTATTTAAAAATATAAAGATTGGCTCCGAACGAATAAACAAACACTATTTATCTCATTTTTTCAAAAAAAAAAAATGGCAATAGGGACCCACTAAGGAGCAGAAGAAGTCCAGTCTACCTACCATAGAAGTTGTGAATGGCCCTGTTTCCCAACCCTACAAAAATTCCTTTAATTACTCTAATTACTTTGTTTTTGATCGAGACGATTAGAAATTTAATTGAGAATAAATTAAAATATAACAAATTTCTTATTGATAAAATACATTTAAAACGGATCGATTTGATATAGGCCTAATTTACATTTTTACTCTCTAAGAAAATTAGTATAAATGATAAAGTAAATAGCATATTATACTTACAGATAAAGTGCTAAGAAGATTCCGAAAAGAATCAAAACGTAATACGAAATTCCATACAGATCAGCCATTTTGAACTAATATACCAGCGCTCTTCATATAATGTTGTATGTGATAACTCTATACCATGTCAATGAATTTCACATTACTGTATTTTGTGAACCTTTATCTAATCGACGCGTAACACGATACAATTTGATTAATTAATGCTTTGATATGAATTGAGGAAATGACGTCTTATCTTAGCCCAAATAAATTACAGGATGTACTGCATCTTGTAAGAAATAAAAAAAACTTTTAACAATAAATTAATAAAATACTTGATCTTATCATTTTAATAATATTTTGAGATTTATATTAATTAAATAATGTTGATAAGACATTATAGCTTATAAACATTCCTTTAATAAATAAATTACGAGTTGATAAATAGGCATTATGTCTACAAAAAATGTGTATTATACAGATTATTTTTAAAATTTATTCTTATGTTAATAAATCAAATATAAAATAAAAATTTGAATGGTCTTTCTTAATATTTTTATTCGATAATAACAAAATTAATGTTTCTATAAAATTTGTTTTAGATACTTTCTGTCGTCGATATAAATGGTACTGTTGATATTTATTTTATATCTTTTGTATATAAATTAAATGTCTAAAATTGAACGTAAGTGTTCATAAATACTAAGACAACTGTTTATTTTATAACTTATAACTTATTACATACACAATTTAAAAATAAATAAACATCGAATGAATAATTTCTAATCCTGATTACAATTTTCGTTGACAGACAAGAATTTTATTAAGTAATTAATTTATCTTCTCTTACATCAAAATTAAGAAACACGTTTTTGGGATAATGGAGCCTCTTGTTTTTATCGAACTCCGGTTGATCCTAAAATAACAAAAAATAATTTAAAGATATTTTATTGCTGTTAATAATTTATTTTATACGTGATTTACCTTTGTGTTAGCTCCTCTTCTAAACCTGACACGTTGGAGTGTTTTTATCAAAGCAATTTTAATTTCAAGAGTAGCTAATCTCATACCTAAGCAATATCTTTGTCCTGCTCCAAAAGGTAAATTAGTATAGGGATAGAGGGTCTGTTTATTTTCGGATAAAAACCTGAAAGATTTATCAGATGAATAACTTTTAAAATAAAATAAATAGGATAAACTTAGATGCTGCTTAAACTAAGCATAACTTATGCTTAGTTTAAGTAATATATAAGTTTATCTAATTTATTTATCAAACTTATACTTATTTACATTTATTAAAAGATTGACATTAACATTAATAGCTTACCTCTCAGGAATAAATTTATCTGAATCAGGAAAGTATTGTGGATCGTGATGTATAGCATATGTTGGAATTGCTACAATTGTATGTGTCGGTATTTTTACTCCAGTATTTTCAAACATATACTCTTTTGTCAATGTTCTTTCCAATCTAAAAACAAATAAAATTTTACAATTGAGTAGATTTTTAAAAGCTAAATATACGATTTATTCAAACAATACCTCGGTAAAGGGGTGTATAATCTCAACGTTTCCTGAAAAACTGCGTCAAGATAATTCATTCCAACAATCGAATCATAATTTATTTCTTTCTAAAAAGCAAGCTGTTTAAGTAAAGTAATAAAAAAATTAATTAAAGTTAATTATAAATTTATACTTTATCCTTAAAAGTTTCATCAATTTCCTTTATAAGTTTCTCTTGAATGTCTGGATGTTTAGCAAGTTCATGAGCTAAAAATGTAAATGTAGCATTTGTTGACATATAACCTTTGACGAAAAACATCATGCACTGGGCCATTATATCTTCAAATTCAAAAACTAATCGAATTGTAATTAATTTAAAATCTAAAATTTATGAATTACGTGCAAAAAAAGCAATGTACTAAATGGAAACAGTGTACCTTTCTTTTCGAACTTTTTTGCAATAATATCATTAATTCGTATTTCCAGTAGCGACTGTAGAATATCATTTGGTTTTTCTTCCTGTTAGAAGTAAATTTTTGTTAAATAATTTATATTAATCATATTTTTATTAATAAAACATACATCTTTCATTTTCTTCCTTTTGTCTATTGCTTCTTCGAGCAATTTCTTAAAAAGTCGTGTTGTAGAACGAGCAAAAACAGATAAACGAAGGAATTTAGTCAAATTGGGAAAGAAAACTGAAGAACAAAAATAATATTTTTATGTAACAATTTTATTGGAATTCTATTTTAATATAAAATTCTTTACTTGATAAATAAACTTTCCATGGACCAGGATTTATAGTATTTCTGGCAGCTTTCACAAAAGGATTATTTGGATCCTTTTGCGAATCTAATGTAATACCAAAGGCACATTTAGCAATAACATCTATAAAATATGCACCGAAGTATCTGTAATGATATACTTTAAGTAAAATCCAGCATATAAATTTTAAATCTATCTAAACTCAAAGGTAATATAAAAATAAAATTAGTCAAATAATATAATATGAAATAATGATATCACAAATTGTTTTCGTTGTTAAAATTTTATTTTATTTATGAGTTTCTACTATTTTATTATAAAATAAACGTTTAAGAATTTACACACAGAACAACAATAATGTTTATGTTAAATTGAGTATAATTATTAATTAATGTATTTTTTTTTTCTATTTTATGTAGCGTCCAGGAATAAAGTGATCCAGTACATAACTGCATAAATAAGAATTATATCCTTCTATCAAGTTCAATTTTCATTCGAGAAGCTTTTAGACTAGGAAAAACTTACTTTTCAATGTCGACTTCTATCATTTCTTCAGCAACTTCAAACAAATTCTCTGCTAAAGTTTGGGCGCATTCAATAATTAAATTGGTCATCTAAAAAGATAAATGTTATTAAAATCTTATTTTAGATAATATTTTTTAATAATACTTACCATTTTTATTTTACTAAAAGTAAAAGTAGGAGTTATCAACACTCTCATTTGTCTCCATTTTTTACCAGTTTGTACATAAAGCATCCTATCTATAATAGGATCGACAAATAGAGGGGTCTAAATTAAAATAACTGTAATGACTATAATGATATATATAAGTGTATATTTTGTTTTCTAAATTAATAACTTACTCTTAAATCCACAAAGTATTGAAAATCTTTAACTAAAATATTCCTTATCCACTTTGGTTCTGCTATCATAAGAACTGGAGTAAAACCTTCATAAATACTGAAATAAGATCAAGTGTTTAAATAGTTTTATAGCTTTAGTACGTTATTAAGTATAAAAATATTTTACCCAAAAATTTTGCCGTATTTTTCGTACCATTTTTGATCTAATTTTCCCATTGGCTGCAACAAATTATTCGAATAAAACGTCATGTAAAGTTTATTAAATTTTAATATAAGACTTACAGTTCTGAAATCTAAGCCTTTTGAACCTGTAAAAATTATTGGAGGTACTTCGGGGATTCCAAGATTATACCAATAATCGAAGTGTTTTGTGAGAAAACTAAAAGAAATTAATTTATAAATATTCATATTATTATATTTTAATAATTAATGTAATACATGTGAAAGATACGAAGTTAAAATATCTAAATTCTTATCTTTTAATTGTAGTTTGCTGTAATTTTTAAGTAGGCTACTGTTTCAAGGTTTAAAAATAAAAGGCATTGAAATTCCTTTCTCGGAAATCAGTAAATATAGGAAAATTTAGAAAAATATCATTTGTTTTCATAAAACTTATTATTTTATTGGTGTTTTTTCGTGTTTAAATCTTGTTATCTTCCAATGAAAACTGCTCACCAATGGCTGAGTGGATAAAACTTCTGGTAGTTGGTTGCTGATTCGCGCCGATTAATGAGCTGCCACGTGAAATTTCCAGGGTTTTCTTTACAAATATAACACTTGGCGTTAGAAGAAAACCGTTATTAGAGAGGTTGAGGCCGAAGTTTTCATCTGTAAAACGTGAACGTCGAACGTCGAGCGCTGCTTACAAGATAGCGGCGCTCGAGTTTGACGTTTACGTTTTAAAGATGAAAACTTCGGCCGCAACCTCGCTATTTACTCTTATTTAGCCCTTGTTTAGATACTTTACGTGTCTTTTCCCATAGAAAGTCTTCCCAGAAGGCAGATCGCATGTGTTTTATTATTCCATTATTCCAATTCAATAGAAATCAAGATAAAAGAATCGTTATATTTATTGAAAAATATACTTAATTACATTTATGATATTATAATATTGTTTTTGTATATATATAAATAAAAGGATAATTTAAATGTTTATTTTGTTAAGAAATTAAATAATAATTTTAATTAACATGATCTAAAAGTAACTAATAAAAATTTAAATAAAGTATACAGTACAATAATAAATCAAGTTTCTAGGACAATAGTTTTAATATTTTATATAATTCCAACTATTAAAAATGAAAAGAATGAATAATTTAATTTTGCAATGTTAAATCTAATGTTAGTCTGTTTGTAATTTAAATCTACAAAGCTATAGATAATTTCTGACGTTATCTTGATAGAAAACACATTTTATTTTTGCTCATTTTCAACCGAAAATCACGTTTCAAAATATAATAATTATTAATATATACTCGTACAGGTCACAAAAATCAATGTTACACGTTAGAATAATTAACACATTTCATAAGAACTTTAAAATAATTAATTAAATTATGCTAATTTTTATCCAATTTTTCAATACAAGTTTTTTATTTTGCATTTATTAATGAAGTGACAAATTTATTTATGTTTGCTTTCCAGGACACTCTGAGTTGTGAAGATCCTTATAGTGAATAATATCAATGCATTCTGTACTTTAAATCTATACGGTATTTATAAATATATCCTGCTGTATTTGGTGCCAAGATGCCCACCCAAAAGTTTCCTCAAAGATAAATGTCTGAAGTCAACATATACATGGGGCCCCCTAATTCAAATTTGCCTTGGCCTCAAGCAACTATAACGCTCCACTGATATGGGAACAAATCTAGAAAGAACGAAAGAGGAGGCCTTTCTAGAAGTAGGCCTTTCTCTTCCCATTTATATAGAGAAGAGAGTACACCATGTTATCAATAGGGACGATAGTATTTCTAAGATTTTTTTTTAAATTTTTAATAAAAAATAACCAATGTTTATACTTTTTATAACCAATGTTTATACTTTTATCATTACTTTTAAATTTGTTAAGAATTTATTATGTTCTTTAAGTTTATATAGTTTAATTAATTATTAAAGAATAAAACTTGTATATATCGTTTATTTAATTACACCAATTAAAAATAAAATCATACTTACAGATAAATTAAGAGAAGAATTCCTACTGGGATTAAAATATAATAAGATATAGGAGTAATGTATGCCATTTATGCTGCAAATAAATTTTTTTTTTCCGCAAATAAAAATTATTTTTTTACTATTTACTCTTTGAATACGTTTATACGATACCGGTACTTACTTTTTAAAAGTTAAAATAATTGTTTGTTAAATTATATTTAAAAAACACGTAAAAATAACTGACATTATACGAGAGCAATTCAATGATACACAATCACAATAACATGATATTATAGTATAAATTTCTTCCTAATTTTCCAATGGCAGGAAATATACTTTATGTAATTTTATATTTTATTTGTAATTTAATAGCAAATCTTATGGTAAAAATATCTCATATACTTCTAAAAAAAATCCAATAAATAAGAACAAAACTAGGATAAAATGTATTAGTATATTGTAGATTTAAGAGTGAAGATTTACAATATTTTTCACCCTGTTTGAAGCTTAATAACTTCTATGCTTTCTGTTGAACATTTCTGAAATTTTGCAGGGAAGTTTGTGTATTAGGGAGATTTAATCTATTAAATGTTGGTGGTTAAAGGTAGATGAGGTAGGAAGATAAAAGAGGTGGTGTGTCATATCTCGAGCAGGGTCGGACTTGACGATTTTACTCGTTATTAGAACTTACAATTTTTTTTAATAAAACCCATTTCTACTCTAAAAAATTAAGCTTATAATAATTAAAAATATAAAAACTTTTAATAATAAAATATCATAACAGATGGCGCCACAAACGCATTTTTAAACGTTTCCGAGAAAGTTAAGCAACTCGTTACTGGATTTTTTTTTTATAGAGAGAAGTAATTCCTTCTTACGCTGAATAATAATATTTTAATTGATGTAAAAACAAATACATAAATAATAATTTAATTAATTAAATATCAAGTTATTCAAATTTTATATATTTGTCGTGTTTAAAATTGTAAAATATATTTTAAATAAAAATTTTAAAATAAAAAATACCATCAAATGTTTTAAATAATGCATTTTAATAATCTTCTATAAGCTTTAATGTACAGTACATGTTTCTGTAGTGCTATTTCATACACACAGATTACACAGAAGTGGAAAAAAAAACGTACAGAAGAATAAAGAATAAAAAAATGTATAATAATATTATTTAAATAATAAATATGATATTAATATTAAAACAAACTTTAAATATCCTGCAGCACTTACATTTTTAATGATATTTTAATATTTATTTAAACCAAATCGATATTTTGTTCCACATTTATTATATTAAATAAATAAGTAAATATTAGAAAATTATATTTATAATGCTGTAGAACAAAGTCTTATTCGTATATTATTTAAGAAAATAATTATTTAATATTTTTTGTAACACACAAAATTGTCATTAAATCTTATTAATGAATATATTTGGTTTATTGGATACATTAAAATTACAGTGAATTTTCATTTACTCGTGTAGAAAACATTATTTTTTTAAAATAATTTTATTAAATTCGTTAACTTTTCTCACCGTATAAGCTTAAAATCTGTTTTTTTTTTTTTTCCTATACACAATCTGTATTTAAACATCTATATTAAAGTAAGGCACATGTTGCTAGGTGTATACACTTTGCACTTCTGAATTTGCCATCTTTTAACTTGATTTATCCTGAAACTGTAATGATTTTCAATTATTATAGATGTAAAAAAATTAAAGTAAACAATAACTAAAAGATATACTGTGGGAAAAAGGTCTGATTTATGTATAAGATGAATAAGTTAGATTTAGATCAGTAATGGGGGCCATCGCTGGCTTAGGCCTTATGCTATAAGACTATAATTTAGAGCCTCGTAATTTAAAATTTCTTATTTGGTAGAGAGAAATGTCCTCTTATATATTATATCTTAGGATATTAACAGATTTGAAAGGCATACTTACATGTTTTTCGATATTTATCTAAAACAGCATTGTCATTATATTCGAAGGGATCCAATGATTTCTGTAAAATAAATTTAAAATTAATTACTTATCTATTTTTAATTTATTATAAAAATTAAAAGAATTATGTTAGATTCATACTGCAGCACTAATTCCTCTTTTTCTGCTTCTACAGATTGAAGAACGAAAATGTTTCGACCCAAAACCAATTATTAAAACAAAAAATATTCCCTGAAATGAAATCATATTAATTTCAATTATTAATAAGTTTTAATGGAAATTAAAAATTATTTATAAAAATTACCAAAGACGCATTTAAAACTTGAAAAACTGGATTAAACGGAGGTAAGTCATCCAGTCGTAAATCAATATAAGTAAAAACTGCACAGACCCAAGTTACCAGAAATAAAATATTAACGATGAAGTGTGTTTTAGCTGCAGAACTAAAATTTTTTAAGTTAATTTATTTAATTTACACAAGAAAAAACGTTCTTTTTAAATTATTCAAACCTTATTTCATTCACTACTGCTGTTTTCTTGATAACAGGAGTGCCAATGTTACACATAGTTAGTAACGACCATAAAAATGCAACCTATCAATCAAATATTTAAATAAAACTCTATAAAATTAATGTAACAATCTTAAAATCGTAAAAAATCTGTTATATATAACAGAAATTTTAATTAACTTGAATTACCGTTGTTGGTGCTAAAATGCTTCCGATAAGTATCATTTTCATTTCGTTCGTTGGTCCAACCATACATCTGTAAACGCGTATATATTTAGGACTACTAAACACAATTAACATTAATTTTTATTTAATAAATTTACTTATTTAATTTACCTGTAATCGTAGCCGTAATCTGTATATAAGACGACCGAAACACCGACAGCTATAGCAGGCAAGCCTATAGAATTATTAGAATTTTATAATCAGCAGTTGAAATAATTAATAAAATTAACTTACCCCAACCAAGAAGTAAATATAAGAAAACTCTTCCTTTAACAACACCAGCTACAATAGCACTGAATAATGCGTGACCTTCCATTAAAAGCCACGCTGAAACAGCGGTGTAGGAGTAATGGATAGTACCTGATAAAATTCTGCATAATAACATGATATTATAGTATAAATTTCTTCCTAATTTTCCAATGGCAGGAAATATACTTTATGTAATTTTATATTTTATTTGTAATTTAATAGCAAATCTTATGGTAAAAATATCTCATATACTTCTAAAAAAAATCCAATAAATAAGAACAAAACTAGGATAAAATGTATTAGTATATTGTAGATTTAAGAGTGAAGATTTACAATATTTTTCACCCTGTTTGAAGCTTAATAACTTCTATGCTTTCTGTTGAACATTTCTGAAATTTTGCAGGGAAGTTTGTGTATTAGGGAGATTTAATCTATTAAATGTTGGTGGTTAAAGGTAGATGAGGTAGGAAGATAAAAGAGGTGGTGTGTCATATCTCGAGCAGGGTCGGACTTGACGATTTTACTCGTTATTAGAACTTACAATTTTTTTTAATAAAACCCATTTCTACTCTAAAAAATTAAGCTTATAATAATTAAAAATATAAAAACTTTTAATAATAAAATATCATAACAGATGGCGCCACAAACGCATTTTTAAACGTTTCCGAGAAAGTTAAGCAACTCGTTACTGGATTTTTTTTTTATAGAGAGAAGTAATTCCTTCTTACGCTGAATAATAATATTTTAATTGATGTAAAAACAAATACATAAATAATAATTTAATTAATTAAATATCAAGTTATTCAAATTTTATATATTTGTCGTGTTTAAAATTGTNATTATCTAGTATAAAATAAAATAGAATAGCTAATTATAGATGATTTTATCGGATAATTTTGAAATGAACTGGGGAATCGATCCTTTGTCGGATCCTTTTTCTAGTTTAGTTATGCTTTTCGCTATTTTTAATTCACAGAAATAATAATAAAACGTTTCTGTGGAGTATCAGAAAAATCAGAAACATAACAAAAATTTCTATATCCAGAAAAAAATTTAAACACAAATATTAAAATAAATTATAACACTTTTTTAAAAATATTTACAGGCTATTAACTTAATAACATTGTGAGAATATCATGTAAATGGTGATGGATGGTGTAGGAGTTATAGCAGCAATCTATCGCTCTGAGGAAGTCCGAGATGAGTCAAGCAGGCGAAAAACCCCAGAAATTTTTCACTGGCGGTCTGTCCCGGACGTGTCGGACTTCGTACCGCATCCCTGGACCCCCAATTGTGGGCCTGAACGAACCCATGATGGATATTTAAAAGTCTCTCTTAGTGCCAAACAAAGTGGAAAAAATCAAAAGTGAGAGAAAAATATTTTTTTTAAATGTTATTAAAAGAAGAGGAATATTTCTATACTAACTTTGATCTTGTATTTGTGCACATCAACAATTCTCAAAGCTCTTTATATTTACTATTTTTAAATATTAAAGTAGATCATATTTAACACTTTAAGTAACTAATCAGTGGAATTTTTGGTATTTTTTAAATGAAAATTAAACTGAAATTTTACTATTAAACTTATTATGAATAAATTTTAATTTATATCATAATTTTTTACAAAGAATGTTATAAATAAAATAATAATGGGTAAAAGTACTTATACGTGTATACCATCAAGAATAATTAATATAACCTTAAGATATATTTAAATCTAAACATTATATAGTATCAAGTGCATATGCAAAGCACATGAATCACGAAAGAAATATATTATTGAAAGGAACTCACGAAAGGTTTTCTTAACTTCGACATCACAGTAAAGATTCCTGATGACTGACAAGCACAAGTCGTAGATTCTTCCGAAGAGTTAACTAATTTGCAATCTTCATCTGACCATCCGCCTTTATCGTCTCGTCTGATTAAAATATTAGAAGTAAATATATGAAGAAGATAAACATGTTCAAAGTAGATTTGTTAAATTAAAAAATAAATAAATTACCCTTTAATTTCCTGGCTTTCTTTCCAACGCACGCAATATCTTTGTTTAATCTGTGGTGCAGTAAATGTTAAATTTTAGAGAGAGAGAGAAAGAATGTAGGTTACATAATATACAAGTATAAGACTCACTTCACAATTTTCAATATCTGATTCAGATGCCAGAAGTTTACGTCCTGTCATTTTTTTCTAAAATATCAAATAATATATCAGCTATTATATATTTTATATATGAATATATTATATAGAAAACAAAAATATAAATTACTTTCTGCTTATTCGAAAAACCCATCAAAATTGGATCATTTTCTAAATTATCAGAACTGGCTTCAGGTACCATCTCTAGTGATGTCACATCACCATCGATAAATACCCATTCATCATCATCACCCCTAAAACAGAATTTAAAAATATAAATTTATAAAATAAAATATGATAAAATTATTTCAGAATTTACTCACGAATTAGAATTTTGAAGAGGTGCAACCGAACTCAAACTGTCATATTTACAGTTCAGTATATGAATACGTTCATCTAAAACGAAACATTATATATAAAATATAGATTAAAATTGAATTTTATTATATTAATATAATATTTACTTACTTGGTTTTCTATTTCCTATAATTTTCGACGAAGCTGTAAGTTGAATTTTTTCTTCGGCAGTTTCATTTTGTTCTTCTGATTGCATATGTTCCGAGAGAGGAATGTTACCATTATCTTCGCCAAGTATCTTTGCTGCCGACGAAACAAAGATCCTGCATTCTAAAAATTAAAAGACTGTAATAGTCTTTATTTTTAATATTATTATTTATTTATTTTATAAAGTTTACCAATATTAAAACATTTCTGTTCGATGACTGTAGGAACTTCCGTGTAATTTGTATCCGTTGATTTTAGCAACACCCAATCCACATACGATTTTACCAATTCTGCGGAACCGCCATTTTTCTATTAAAGATAAATCATTAATGTAAACTAATAATTTTTTAAATAAAATATATGTAAAATTCTATTATGTTTTTTTTTTATTTCAGAAAATCATATTTATTGGCTACGTTCAGCAAACAACAGTTCTAATGGTAACGTTAACTGCTATGTAATAGCAATGAATCTGATGAACGATGGGTCAGGTGATTTTTTTAATCAAGGCTAAAGACCATTTTGGAGAATTTAAATCTCGTCCTTGGCGGCAGGGGATGAGTTCGAAGAGGAGGATGGGAGGAGCTCGCATTAGAATTTCGAAGCAAAGCCCGAAATGAAGATGTTCCGTTTCTATGTAGAGAACATACTCAGCAGAAAATACTCAACTGCTCCAGAATTTTCGAGTTTAGTGAACACAGCACTGCCATTCACTTCTAATAATGGTTCCGAAATGTTAAGTAATGGAAACATGTATGACTTAAATCTACATCTATCTTTGATATAGATATCTATATCATAAAATTTGAATTATACACGTAATATCTATAGTTCAAATTTTATGCGGAAAATAAAATAAAAAATAAAATGCATGTTTTAAATTATTTTAATGTCTGACAACATAAAACTTTCGAAAGAACACATTCGCGTGCTGTTGCTCATTTACATCAAAAGTGACCACAACGCCACGAAAGCCCACGATCTCATTTGTAAAGTGTTTGTTAAAGCGTTTACAGACGAACAAAGATCGGCCAGCTGTTGCAAATGTCAAAGGACCGATAGTGCAGAAGGCAATGTGTTTGTTTGGCGTCATTATGATGGAGATGCTTCCAACTCACATCACCGTCACAAAAGAACATAGATCTTTTCAGTACCACTACGACAACGCGGCATCCCATGACTTTATAGAAGTTGGCCAATCTGGACTAGCATCCAACTTTACAGCCAAGACTTGGCGCCAACTCACTACCGTCTATTCTCACGATATTGTTAATTTACAGTTTTATATCCAACGTTCGAGACCTTCTTCAAAGTAAACCACAGTCATTCTATTCTCACGATATTGAAAGTTTGCAGCAAAGATGGAAAAATATGATCGATATTGATGATGATTACTTTCAAGACTGTAGTCATTGTTGAGTTAATTGTCAATATAGTTCTTTTTTTTCAAAATGTCTAAATTTCACCTTTACAAATATATAAATCTTGGAAATTGTACTGAAAACTCAACACTTTTAACGGTTTCGGTAAAAATTAACATAAAGTATATAATAAAAATAAATATACTTGTTTTAAAATATTTTACGTACTTTATTTATCTCTTTCCAACAGTCAGCATACTTTTCAGCTAAAGCACCGCAAACCAAATTTTGGAGAAGCTGTTAAAGATTTATGCATTTATTATAACAAAAAAACTATTACAATTTTTAAAATAATTATTATAATTTTTACGAAAATGTAATTAACTCTTACTAGATTTATTTCAAAAACTTCTACACTTATATTTTTCTTTCTAGATAAAGTTGTTGTTCTTTCCATTATAATATTAATAATGTTGACCAAACTTGTTAAATCTTCACACATTTTTTCTTCTTTCTCTTCATCAATTTTTTCATCGGTGCTGTTTTCTATTAAAAAAATCACATAAGGATCATATAAAAATATATTTAAATATATCATACCGTTTAGAAATATATCCATTATTACTTTTATCCGCTGGTTCGGGTTCGATTTTTGCGACTTTGCCCAAATGTTTTAGAACCTCGCGTAAAACTTCGGGATTGTCTAAAGGAATGTCTCCCTAAAATTAATTTGATAAGAATATAAATAATTTATTTTAAATATCTTTATTTTAAATTATATGTCAAGGAACTTACCACAAGAGCAACGAGTTTGGCCAGATTTGTTTCGCAGAATAACGGATGAGTTTCTGTATCGCAGTCTAAACGATAAGAAGAGTGGAATTTCATAAAGCGTACAACTTAAATTATTTAAGGTTAAAGTGTGTTTACACTACAAATTCAATAATAATAATAATAAGTTTAAGATATAACTTACTTTTTTCTTCGTCTGAAGCCCAACGAGAATATTGATCATTAGTTTAACGCAAATAAAAGATTTAATAACAATTAATGGAGAGTATTTACCATAATCACCAAGAAAACAACTTGTTTCTTGAGGTGAGAGATCACGAAACCAATACGCAATTTCATCGAGCTCGCAATCAGCAAAATGACTGTAACCAGATCCAACTTTCTTGCAACCAACTGTAACTTCATCTTGTTTCTTTACTTCTTCTGTTAATTCTTCCGGATACATAGTCCAAGCTTCCAATGTGTTGTTAACGTAAATCTGAATATCAATTAGTAATTAATTAAAGAAAATAATCTTAATTTTTGTTAAATAATAAAACTTTACCTTTATGCCATTATCCTTTTTCCATGCTACACCCAAATTACTCCAAGTACTATTCGGTATTGGGCCGGGTGCGCATGCTTCCCATTTTTGATCATTTTTACATAAACCGGCACAAAGGGTAATTTCAGAATAATAAATATACAGTCCTGGGCACCCTATAAAATTTTAATACTTTGTATAAAATGGAAACAACAGCGCCTAAATGTACAAAACATAGAAGATTCTGTTAAAGTTTCTCACCGGAATCGATTATATATTTGCGTCTTTTGCTTCTGTAAAATATAATATTAACCCAAACGCTGAAAGAGAATCCATTTGGACACTGGGTAGGATCTTTCAAACAGTTTTCGTGTCCTTTTTCCTTCGCAAAATTGGTAAATTTAAGACACGCTCCAGCATCATCGGAATCTTCTTCGGAACGAAACGAAGCACCCCAACCTAACCCTATAGGGCCGTTTGCGAATGAAACAGTTTTATCACCTACATCTGTGCCATTTAGTTTCATGTTGGGCCAACAATAGCTTGTGGACTCGCAGTAAGGCAAGCAGGCTAAAAATTAATTACAATTCCTTAAATTATTGTTAAACATTGAGACATTTTTGGCATCCTCTTCAGTACTTACTCTCATTTATTGCAGCTGTAGTAGTTGAAATCGGAGTTGTGGATTCTGTCGTTGAAACGGTAGTAGTTGTGGTTGTTGTCGGTATAATTACCGTTGTCGTTGTTGTTGTAGGTAAAGAAGTTGTAGTAGTTACACTGGTTGTGGTTGACGTTTCTGAAGTTGTTGTTGTTGTCGTAGGAGTAGTTGTTGTTGTAGTTTCAGTTGTTGGAATCGTCGAACTTGTTGTAGGAGGTTTAGTAGACGTAGATTCAGTTGTTGTTGTAGATGTTAAAGCTTCAGTAGTTGTAGTTGTTGGAATGTTAGTAGTTGTGGATGTTTCCACTGGAGTTGTCGTAGATGTAATTGTTGTTGGAATCTCAGTTGTTGTTGTGGTCGGATATTCTGTTGTAGTTGTTGTCGTGGTGGGTATTTCTGTTGTAGTTGTTGTTGTTGTGGTTAGTTTTTCGGTAGTAGTTGTTGTTGTGGTTGGTTTTTCCGTTGTGGTTGTTGTAGTGGTCGGTGCTTCTGTTGTAGTTGATGTCGTTGATGTGATAGGCGCTTCTGTTGTAGTAGACGTTGTTGTTGGAGCTTCAGTGGTTGTGGTTGTTGTGGTACTCGTTAATTCAATTGTTGTCGTAGTTGGAGCTTCAGTTGTTGTTGTAGGAGCTTTTGTTGTTGTCGTAGGAACTTCCGTTGTTGTTGTCGTTGTTGTCGGAGCTTTGGTTGTCGTTGTTGTGGTGGTAGGAGATTCTGTTGTTGTCGGAGCTTTAGTTGTTGTTGTTGGAGGTTCGGTAGTTATTGTAGTTGTTGGAGATTCGGTAGTTGTAGTTGTTGGGGATTCAGTTGTAGTAGTAGTAGTTGGAGGTTCGGTTGTTGTTGTTGTCGGGGGTTCTGTTGTTGTGGAAGTTGTTGGGGGTTCTGTTGTCGTCGTACTTGTTGGAGGTTCTGTTGTTGTGGTAGTTGTTGGAGGTTCGGTTGTTGTGGTAGTTGTCGGAGGTTCGGTTGTTGTGGTAGTTGTCGGAGGTTCGGTTGTTGTGGTAGTTGTAGGAGGTTCGGTTGTTGTGGTAGTTGTCGGGGGTTCAGTCGTTGTGGTAGTCGTTGGGGGTTCAGTCGTTGTGGTAGTCGTCGGGGGTTCCGTCGTTGTGGTAGTCGTCGGGGGTTCGGTTGTTGTAGTAGTTGTTGGGGGTTCTGTTGTCGTCGTAGTTGTTGGGGGTTCCGTTGTTGTCGTAGTTGTAGGAGGTTCAGTTGTTGTCGTAGTCGTCGGGGGCTCAGTTGTTGTGGTTGTTGGGGGTTCAGTCGTTGTTGTCGTCGTTGGAGCCAATGTAGTTGTAGTAGTGGTAGTGGGTGCTAAAAGGAAAAAATTATATTAACAATATAATTTATTTCGTGCTAAAAACGTTCTTATTTGATTAATTACAGAAAAATATTCTTACCTTTAAGTGAAAAAGCATTAATTAATCGTACAAACTCCATCATACCCACCTGAATTAGACGAACCTCTGATAAATAGACTAAACTGAAAAAAATCATACTTAAACATAACACATTAACATTCATTATTTTCATTCACACATGATTTTTGTTGTACAGATGCTTGTCAACTTGTGTTTAATTTATAAAAAATGAACAACTACACAGATAAATCCTCGTTTTATTTCTATCAATACAATTATTTATATTACAGAAATTAATATATCGATAATATAAAAATTTCAATCTTCATCCTTACGAAAAAATTCAAATATCTTTCTTCATTCTTTCTCTAAAAACATATCTAAAAATCGAAACTAGACTGTTTAAATTGTAAGATTAGAAATGGAATATTCAATTTATATTCATTAATATAAAGTCTTAATTCAACAGCGTCATTATTAATTACATTAATTATTTATAAANTGCAGAAAATGCTTGGTTTTATTAAATAAAAACAATTTTAATTCAATAAAAATGCAAACAATTCTTACCGTTTCCAATCAATATAAGATTTTCAAAGCAGTGAAGTATTCAGATGCGCCCTCATATCACATTAAAATCACATATCGTACGTCACACATCCAATCAGCATCCGCATTAAAAAATTCATGTCGTGACGTACATCTCACGAAAGTCCTAATTGGACAATTGCACGACGTTACAAGTCACGATAAATAAACATTTCTCGACTCTATTGCCATAGAAACTGATTCAAATTGAGATAAATTAATAAACTTCTATGAACTTTATATATATTTTAATGATAGAAAAAAATCAATAATTCATTATAAAACATGGCGGTTTGATTTTATAGAATTTATTTAAGATTTCATAAAATAAAATGTTATATATCTCCGATTTTTGAATGGAAGATTCAATTATAAGACGGTATCGTGACTAGACGTATGTGACCTTTATTTATCTGTTAATTTGTTGATTTTCGTGTACAGATGTATCTAGTAGCTACTGGCAACGGAAACGTCTCCAATACAACAACTCTTAACGGTAAATTTGACGATTCAGTTACTTTTTTAAATATTTATATCCCTTTATTTTTTTATAAAGCTAATCAATTTTAATAACAATTAGCATAATTTTACTTTATCCTATTCATTAATAATTATGTTAAGTAGAAATTTGTGATACTACAGATTAAAATGAATGTTTAAGCGTAAATCTTCAAAATGTCTAGTTTTAAAAGTTATGATAAGCATTTATTATTATTACTTTTTCATTTTTGACTCTTTTTTGCTCTGTAGACACTAAGGGGGTGGGCCCTTCCTGGTTTCGGCCAGGCCCATCAATGGCGCGTTATCCTATGGGCAAAAAGAGTAATTGCCTGGGCCACCCACCAGCGTGGAGCCCCAAACCAATCTTTTATTAAAAAATATTTTCCTTCAAAAATTTCTCCCAAGCGAAATTTGCACATGGAGTCCTCGAATTCAAATTTGTCTGAGCGCCCATGAAGCCATAACGCACCACTGAGGCTCACAATGGGAGCAGGCTGAATGACTAACGCATACGAAACTTGTCACAGAAAAAAACTTAAAAATAAACTTAAGTAACAAGTCAAAAATTCAATATAAATTCGTATTTTCATTGTTTTATTCTTTATTTTCAGTCCTTCTTTTAACTTTTAATGCTGCAGCGTGTCATCTGAGTGGCATTTTAAACATTAAGATATATGAATTACAAATTACATTATTACTTCTCAATTTATGTATTTTAATGTAATCGATAAAAAGTAAATTATATTTATTTATACGTATATGTTTTTAATTATAATTTTAATTTTATTCATTTCGAATGAGCCTTATTTGTTATGAGGTTAGCTAATATGGATGAATGATGTTGACGAAGTTTTAATACTATTTATTCGTCCCTTTAACTTAAAATTAACAAATTATATACGCCGTACATAATATATTAGAATTAATTTTAAAATTGCGATAATTTTAAGAAACTCAATTTTCATATTACTTCAATTCGTGTTACAAATCAACGTTCCGTGCTATTAAGTGGTCGAGTGGATAAAACCACTGTAGTCTGATAGTGTAGCCACGGGTTCGAGCCTCACTAACGGACTGGCCTACGTGGAGTTTTCTTCACATATCTAAATAAGCATCAGTTTCTCCTAGAAAGCCCTTCCGGGAAGACATCGTTTGGTAGATCGCCCAATGTTGCATTGACTTCTATCAAATTCAATCTCGTGCTATTAAGTGTAGTGACGAGATGGGATATCGTTTTCCATTTCTAACATATTCTGGCCTACCATATAGAACCATTCTGTAATGGACGAAATTATAGTCGGTCCTCTCTCAAACAGGTCAGTTCATCAATCAAGAATAATATTTATTGTGTCTGGTATCAGAGTGGACAGAAAATATGTCCTGGGAAAAACTAAAATATAGACCATAGCTATTAATGTGTTTATATTTCAACTTAATGTGAGCATAACGTGACAAGAATGTCGTTCCATGAGAGTTGAAGGCAATCATCTCCACAATTAGTGAACAAGAAGTAACCGAAGCAGAAGACCAGCTCATGATGTGCCAAGAAAAGGCCGGTGCAAGTTCTGCCCTCGTCAACATGATCTGAAAGCTAAAATTTGATTGTGAAATATGATGCATTCATATGTTCAGAACATACAAGTGGACCACTCGGCAACATAATGTAATCTTACGTTTAGTATAAATTGTATTTAGACATATTGTATGCAAATAAACGAAATGGAGTCTAGATCCTCCATCATTTAAGTGCGATTTTATTTACCAGCACGGTTAAAGGTTAAAACAAATGCTGTAACAAACCGTTTGCCTTCAAGTAATGAGAAAGCAGTTGTTGAATATTACCGAAAGCTCTCGTACATTGGGCAAGTGACCCCTTTTCGTTAGGATTGTCATTTTCCTACTCCCCGGGGTGACTCCAAACTTCATTATCAATGAACAATAGAAAATTCTTGATTTCTAGCGTATTCTGCAATTATAAAGGAAAATAATGAATGATATTTGTCCGTTGTCCCATGCAACTTCATTGTATGTTGGAAACAAAAATGTTCCTTGTTTTCGAGGTCAAGTTAGCCCCGATTGCAACCAGAGCAACCTTGTGGGAGCGCTGATCCGACGTTTGTTTGTTTTGTTAGCTACTACAACGCAACACTTGGGCGATCTATCTAGGAGAATGCCTTCCGAGAGGTCTTTTAAGTGTAACTGGCCCCTATTCAAAAGTTAAAGACGAAGGAAACCCGGAAAACTCCACGTGGTTAGCCCGTTCTGGCGAGGAGCGACCTACGACCGAACTATCAGTATTTCAGGGAACGGAACAGTTTGGCCACCTGATGCGACATTGGATCAAAGTTTGAAGCCTTTTATTATTGTTTGTGACCCCTTTTTTATAATCTTCGGGCACCGCTGAATATTATACACAGTACAGTATATTTAACACTTTTGAAATCAAAAAACAAATTTTGAAGTTTTTTAATGAAAGTGAAGAATGTGATCAGCTTGATTATAGTTTTCCTCTACTAAGTTCTGGAGATACTGATTCCAGTGACCAGAAAATATCTTTAGTCAAAACATTCACTAAAGTGAGACATGTACAATCTTCAAAAGAAACTGATCAATTAGAATTTAGTGAGGAGAGTAATTACGAAAAAGATTCTTCTGCCGATTGTAAATTAATCATGGAATCAGTTTCAAGCTCTTCGCAATTCCCAGTTCTTTCTCAAACTAATGAAATTCAATCTGAAGAACTGAATGCGATTTTGGAGAATTGCAATTCTTTTTCGGGAAAATAGTTTTCTGCTCAATCTAAATCGAGCAGCGAATCAAATTACGAAAGAAAAGAATATTCAATATTTGGACTAACAAAAGTAAATATATTGACTTTGATTCTTAAACACTATGTAGTGTAATAAATTCAAACACTTGGTGTTCTGTCATCTTGATTCTTAAACACTTGCCGTTCTATCGCCTTTATTTAGTTCAGTTGAACTAAATAAAGACGATAGAACGGCAAGTGTTTAAGAATCAAAGAAGAGTCACAACACGGTTTCAGATTATCAATAAATATATTGACGTTGTATACATGAAAATTTTGCTCTGAAGACAAAGTTTTTATATAGTAGTATATTTAGCATATGGCTATTGTAATTAGACATTATTATATTCTTTCATACAGAGAGCCAAATCCGATTCCTGTCAAATAGCTCACAAGAAAATCAGTAGTTTTATTCTGGAAAATCTTGTTCAAATAACTAAGGGCTTAACTATGATCTATCCCAAAGTGAATCTGCAAGTAATTCGTCAGATCGGAATAAAGAAAAAGAAGAATCCCCGAAGAGAGTAAACAAAACAAAATATGTGGAATCCACAACGGAATTATTTTACGATGCAATTTAAATTTAATGGAGTCTGGACTAATTAAAGTCTTCCAACGAAAACAAAATATTTCGTTTTCTCAAGTTGATGAAATTTATAAACTACTTTTCTAAATATATTTTAGTTTCCAAATTAGATTTTTAATGCTCAAATCCTTTTTGCCATGTGAACACTACGAGGGTTTTTTAAGCTAATTAATTATGGATTCGGCCATTCCCGAAAAATTCCTTGGATCTTTCGGCCTATCCAGATAAAAAAAAAATTGTAAAATAATTTTTAGAAATTCACTTATATAAAATTCAATTTTATGTATTTTATAGTAAAATTTGAATCACTATCATCACACGACTATAAATCAATACCATTCTTCTATAGAAGTAGAGTGACCACTTCTCCTGTGTTGACCAGGAGTTTTCGGGTTTTGCATCTCATCCGAGCTCTGGGTCTTTGATAAATTATGTGGGATGCACGGGTTTTTAAGCATTACTAAATAATAATCAAATTTTCGATAAGGGAGTCAAAAATAATTGGGCTGATATTTTCCAATTGCAGAACTATAGTATAAATTCCTATTGTCATCCGTCCATCCTTAATCTCGACAACAGAGTTAGAGGTGAAAATCGAGACCAAATATGGAAAATGTAGGGTATCAGACCCCGATTAATATTATACGAACTTCCAGTCTAAATCGGAAGTCATATGATTTTTAAAATTAAAATATGATTAAAAATTGTAACCGGGAATTGTGACTGTTATTTATTTTTTCAATATGAAACGAATATATCCAAGAAAATAGTAAAAACAACAATAAATATAACTTTATTTTATTATTTTTAATAGTAAAAAATAAAACTGAAACATCATTTCTAACAATACTTGTTTATTAACAATAAGATTATGTACAGAAAATCATAAAAAGGCTGTACATATAAGGAAAAGAAATTCCTTTCTTGACTAGAATCTCTTATGATAGAGGCAGTAAAAATTAAAACTTTTGACTGGCCATACATATATGGTACATAATAAATACTTTTTGGAGAATTTTAGAGAAGAGTTTGACTGACAAATAATACATTAGCATACTTTTGGCTAAATATAGGTTCAATACATTCATCAAGCATCCAAACCAAAATATTTAATAAAAATAATGATTTTTGGAAGTAGTCAGGGATTACAATAAATTTTAAAATCTTATCTCCAAACTGATTTTTTATTTAGAGATTCAAAATTATTAATAATCACTGCTCCTTTTATACATCTATATAATCATACTTTAAAAAAAATCCAGAATTTTGGATAATAGAAGTTATTATACAAAAATTTACATACTGCATATTTCAAGCAAAGCGATCCTTGCTTGAAAAAATAGGCACGTTATAAATCTCCGAGAATAGTCCTTTGACCAGACTATCGGCCGGAGTGGAACCACTTATCCAAACGACTATATTTAATTGATGTCTACGGGAGCGGGTTGTTCGGGTATGAGGGATGAAAAAAATGATGAAATGAATGTCCAAGCAGTTGCCCCAAACTGTGAAGGTCTGTTATCGTCCTGTTGTCCTATATCTGTTTCGCCTTCTAGCGTTCCTTCTGGCTGACTATCTGATGATACCTGTTATAAAATTTTTAATGAAATTATTTAATATTTTAAATTATGTATTATACACAAATATTTTTATTAGAGTTTAATAAACAAACATATAAAAAAAAGTCCTTGATTTTGTGAACATTTGACATTTGGACAGCAGTTTTGTATAGTACATAATATTTTTATACCTCTAAATTGTACTTTGTGCTGTTTGTACAAATTCAGCTTTTTACGCTAGCTTTTAAGTAATTATAAGTAATATTAGAAAGAAAATAGAAAAGCTGCATTTTAATTATCAAAACTATTTGAGATGTAATTAAATACAATATTTTTATGAAAAATGACAACACAATAAACACAGTTTATAATTACAAATATGTAATGGTATTATAAGATTTTTACTTCACTTGCCTCTTGTTGATTTGACTGATTTTCTAGTGTTGTTGAACGATTAGGTGGTTCTTGTTCTTGATTATTCTCTCTCTCCTGCCTTGGTTCAGGAATTTGGATATTTTCATTATTAGCATTTTGTTGTTGCCTAACACCAAACCAACCACCTTGGTAACTAAAAATATTTAAAAAATGTCTTTATTAAAATTTCTAAAGTAAAATCAAAAAAAAAAAAAAAATTCTTAACTGTCTCTTACAGATATGCAAGAATGGCTAATCCTATAACAATCATGAATCTTCCAGGTGAAGAATAAAAATACACAATACTAAAGAGTACAAGGCCACGACTAAGTATATAGAACCAATCAAGCCAATCTCTATTTCTAAATTCATCATCATCGTCGTCTAGAAGAGGACCTCCTTGAGCATTCATTCGTACATCTTCGTTAGCAGGTCTTTGTGGCGCAACAATGTTTTGATTGGCACCGTTATTAACAGTGGGATGTATCTGTGGAGATCCAGAAGGTGGTAGTGATGAGCTTGGAGTTGAAAAATTGCCAGCAGTCTGAGCACTGTAGTATTTAAATTATGAATTTAAAATTGTTAAGGAATTTAAATAATTATTAAGTTGTTGAAATAACTTACTGTTGTAAATATTGTGTCATATAATAAGCATACATCTGTTGCATAGCCATCATTTGCTGTGCTACTTGTTCAGGATTAAAAGGAAATGTTGGCATTGACAGAGCAGCAGAGTAGCTACAAATAAATTTTAATTATTTAATTTATGAAATGGGATCTATAATTCATAATTAATTGAAGTTTTATTTTTTATACATTTAAAATTCCTAAGAAAATACAAATTCATAAAAATTATTCATTAAATCACAATTCTATTATTTTAATTATATAAATGTTTCGAATAAAAATTATATGATTAATCAAGTAAAAAACAGGTAACTTTTATTAATTGCTTTGTAATCTAAATACAAGTATATTTTTATCTAGCATCATATTATATCAAATGAATTTTTACCCCAGAACAAACTGTTTTTTGGAAATCCAACTTTCCTTAAAATCTTTTTAGGAATATTCAATAATAGTTTCATAATGTCACTGTACACATAGAATAGTTCATTTGGTTCTACATGTAAAAAGATGAATACTTTGAATCTCAATTCCAATTGCTTTTTTTCTTTGTTAGTTAAAAACTATAAATTAAATTACAGTAGAGTGTTGATTTTCCGAAAGTCAATCATCCAAAAGAATTCCAGTCGGCAAATTTAAATTTTCGCCAGTGCTGTGGCGCTTCAATCTTTGGCTACGCAAATATTTTACGTTTTTGATACTAAATTAACATCTGAAGTATAATTTTTTATTATTTTTATATTTTTCAATATATTTATTTTGTTTGTACAAAATAAAAAAATAATTTTTAACGATACAATAGTCTTTGTTAGGCTTAACATCGACGAAAATTCAACGCGAAGCGACACGCAACGGAGAAAAATTTCGACATCGGATACGTTAAACTATTTTTTCGTACGTAAATCAGTTATCCGGACAACCCCAGTCCCCAATTGATTCGGAAAATTGACGCTCTACTGTATATTCTAAATTTAATAGAAGGCAGAAATATCTAGTCAAATTATATCAAAAACCTAATGAACTTTTGGGCTTATTTGTATCTGTGGAGCAGATATAAGTATTTAGATATATATAGTACATCTGGAAAGTTCACAGAATGATTCAATACAAAATTAATTTTTTTACATGAAAAAATTTGCTTGCTTTAATTTTTTTATATATTCTTCTCTCTTTAAATATGTAGCTTGTATCATTCCAAAAAATCCCTGGAAGACCTTGACAAAGTCAATATTTGGGATGGCTTTCAGGAAGTCAATCATTGAATTTCCAGGATGGATTCCATAGAAGTGAGCTTCATGGGAACATTATACTTTGGAAAAAGTATGTCAGGACTAGATTCAGCAAGCAGAAAATGCAGAACCATTTCCACCTGGTGTTTGACCAAAAATTAAATTACAATCTTAGTTTGCTGCTGAGAAAAATAATTGAAAAACTAACGTTTTCAGCCTGATTAACAGGCCATCATCATGATTAAAAAGCTCACTAAAGACTCGTGCTAGAATTTGTTTATTGAAAGATTTATTATATTTTTTATTTTATTTTGTGTTAAGTTTATATATTCTTCCATTTCTCTTGTATATTTTTAAAAATTTTTGTTTGAAATTTTGATTTGAATATTTGTATTCTATACATAGAACGTATCTGTTCCATTTTCGTTTTTTGGACCTGATGATGGCCTGTTAATCAGGCTGAAAACATTAGTTTTTCAATTATTTTTCTCAGCAGCAAATTAAGGTGTGTTATTTTCTGTGTTTACTATTACTTGCTGGGCACTTTTAATGTTAAATTACAATCATTGAGATATTCATCAATGTGTTATCATAAAGGAGGAACCATTCTCTGCAAAAATTTGATTGACATATCAAATTATTTTGAACAGATGATCCATGATTTCCATGTAGAAACAGACTGTATGTAATCTGTCTTTTAATCACACATTTTTATCAGTGTTGCTTACAAAGGACATCCATTGCTTCTGCCATTCTCTAATGCTTTTTGACCATGAAAGCACTTGTACAGTACATATTCAACTGGGGTAAACATTAATTCCATTAACACTTATCATCAATTAAGATTTCTGACATAGTTTTTCCACATTCAAAAATAATATAATTTGCAGCATAATGCTCTTTCTCACAGAATGATGAGATCAAAAAGTCACACAAACATACAATACTCATCAGAAACAAATTACAACTGAAGCAGAAATTAATGGATGCTTACTGAGATCTCACAGGAATTAATTCATGTTTCCTAGCACACAGCACTATTAGTACTTCATAAAAAAATCATTCCAGAAACTTTCAAAATAAACTGTGTAGTTTGAGTATTGTGTATAGGTATTTAATATATTTTACTATATTTAATTTTAAGCTACTAGTTGTTAAAACAACTATTATTTAATTTCATATTTTATATACTTCAAGGATACAATATTACTATTGCATGACAGATCACTTTAATGCAAATTTTGATTAAATCATATTCAGGATATTCATTAGACTTAATTTGTTTATTACAGTCGACCCCCCTATAACGTACGTTCCTATAACGACAATTCCTATAACGTAGCGAAAAAATTGTAGCAACTTTCGTATAACGTACCTCCTATAACGTCGTTTCGCGACAAGATTGATAGAGTCTGGACCAATAGTGGATGAGCAGCCGAACTACTTTCCTCCGACCCTGCGCCACGCTACGGAGCGGCTAAATTGAGTTTGCTATCGTCTGTTTAGTATTATATATAAATTATATATAAATTAGGTACTGTACATATAATTATATATTAATTATATATAAATTAGGTACTGTATATATAATTATATATTAACTTAATTTATTGTAACTTTATTATAATTATATATATGCTTTCTGCCGCCTGGCAACACGCTACGGAGATTTTAGGCTAGTAAGTTGAGTTTATTATCGTCTGCACAGTATGTAAATTAGGTACCGTAAGTCTAATACAGCACTAATTTTATACATTTCTTGTGAAAGAAACACTTCTTATTCAACGGCCATAAAAATTATTTATATTAATGATGTCTCCAAAGGTCAAGTTATTTTTCCGCCAAAAATTCGTTATCAGAAATTGCGGCCGTCGTTTCGCGTGCTGTTCCGCGATGAAAACCAGCTTTAAGCAACGGCGTAGTCGAACGGTGTAAGTAATCCTACAATTTTTTGTTTATAGCATAGTTTATACAGATTATTCCCAAAAAATTATACGTATTTTGGAAATGTTGAGTGGAATTAGTCTAGAATCGGTTAATTTTATAGTAGAAAACCTTTCGTACAGCCTTAGTCCGTAAAGTTCCCACCTATCGGGCTGCGATTGGCTCACATATTTAATCATTCCTACAACGTAATTTTCGGTTAGCGTGGAACGTATCTAAGTGTTATAGGGGGGTCTACTGTACATCTGTATATATTACAGTAAAAGGTAAAAAGTTTAGTGCTTGCTTAATGATTTTTTACACTTTATTTTATGCCAGAAATGATTATATTATTATTATTTCTTTTTAATTAAAACAGAAAGTATTATCTGTTTAAACTAGTATACATTAAATAAAAAATAATTATTGATAAAATTAATCGATTTTAGAAGCATTCAACATTAAGTGCAATAGAAACTGAAAGTTGTACATAAACTTTTTTAAAACAGTTAAACAGGTTTAATAAAATAATAAATCTTTGGGTTTGACTTAATCAGGTTATCTTTGTGGTAATTATGGGGAAGGGGTATCCACTATTACCAAAAGTCTGTTAAATTTAATGTGTTTTAAACACATTAATACAGTCGACCCCCTATAACACTGTTGATTATTCCATTTTATATGAATTCCATGTTGTACAAGTCACTTAAATTTTACATTTACGTGTGTCGGACTGTGAATGGCTCATGTATTTGTAAAATCTAAGTGACTTGTACAACATGGAATTCATATAAAATGGAATAATCAACAGTGTTATAGAGGGGTCAACTGTAATTAATTTACAATACAAAATATATTAAAATATTACTATCAATCTTTTAGTGTGCTCTATCTGCTAATTAAAAAACAGTTTTAATTTTCATTCAGGGCAGAAATATTTTCATTAAATCAAGGGTCTACTGTGACAAACTAGGATAGAATTAATTTCGATTACTTCTAACAATAGTCTGTTTATAGAAAATATTTAAGAATTGAATTTTATAACTTAAATCAAACATAGAGACAATTAGTCTGTAAATTAGATGCACAAGAAATTAAAGTTATATACTGTATTTTATAAATGCAATGTGTCACATCTGCTTAATAATAAATGCAACTGCATGTTGGAAATTAATAGTAGTGAAACCTCGAGATTTTTCTGCTTAGGCATGAACAACCAAGGTCAAGCACATGATTTCATCATTCATTTTTTGACATTGTAAAACTGCTTTCAATTTGAGTATTTTAATTGGACAAAACGCTTTTGTGCTGATTGTGATATGTTCTGTGGCTTTATAATTTAAACTATGCCATCATCTTTCATAGAATCCAATGTAGAATTTGCTCCATATTAAGGGATGCTGGGATGAATAACATTCAAATCAACAAATAGCTACTATCAATTACCTATACTGTAGTACAATTGCATTTAGTAGTTACATGTGACACATAGAGCCTGATGCAATGTTTGTGTCACTTTTCATATAGAGTATAAATAAAAATATATTTTCTAGATTATTCTATTTTAATATGCATTATTGGATTGGTTCAGATTGAGAGGATAAGCAATGCAGCATATGTGATCTTCAATTAGTGGTGTGACTCCCAGTAAGATTTTCTATGGGGAAACAAGACCCATATATTAGGTGATAAACACAAAGAAAATGCAGAATACCATTGGCAACTGATGAGCTTAATATGCATTATTATGTTACCAATATCCATATGTAAATTTAAAACATATGAAATTCTCATCATTTTAAGGGTAAATCAGGATTTACATTTATAATTTTCCAAAACAACATAAAGAACAGTTTTTGAGCATTTTCTATCATCTTTAGATTTAGCTCAATTTTTTTTAAATTGCTGAAAAATTACAATGTACAATATGAAAGTAACAAGAAACAATTCAAGAACTTCAGAAGAATGCTGAATAATTAATTCTGTACCATGACCTGTAAATCAATAATTCATCACACATTTAACAAATGGCCTAGTTACACTGTTATTCCAATTGCAAACTGCTTTCAATAAAAAAAATTCAAATAATGTATTTCTATTAAATATTTTACATAAGAAAATTTATACAATAAAATAAAATGATCGGTAAAATTTTCTCACTCTAAGTCATACATGCCAAATTCATACTTGATAAATTTTGAAAATATCAAAATTATTATATATGTATAAAAAATTATAGCAACTACTATTCTATTTTTAATATTATTGTATGAATATAAATAATTTCAAAATGTTTTGAATATTGTTTTTTATCACATTGCCAACACATTGTTTATATTATCATTTTGTATATATTGTAATGTAAAACCCATTATATTTATTCTATACATATTGTTATGTTCTTTTGCATCCTGTGGAAAGTATTATGTAGGAATATTTTCCAGGAAACTAGCAAAGACAAAAATAATAATGCAAACATTAAGAAGTAGAATGTATAATCTTTGATGAAAAGTCAGAAACTGCTGTGAAAGTGTGAAAATTTGAAAAATTTATTGTCAGAAGTATGTGCTTATTAATTATAACAACATAAAATGACAATAGAATTTGTAAAGTTTTTAAAAGCTCAATATCTCAATATATAAATGCTATTATTCAGATAAACAAATTCGATGATGATATTCAGATAATCAGAACTTAATTTATAATTTTACTTTAATTGTTGAATAAATTTGCCTTAACCATTTTTTAACTAATTTTTCAATTAAAATATTTATTTCAAATTTTTAAAACCATTCTAATTTAAATTACTCTTAAGTTTAAGTTATAAGAAAATAAAAAGTTTACTTTTGATTTGTTTGTTGCATGCCTGTCCTATGTCTTAATCCATCTTCATTAGATGAGCTTGTAGAAGGAAATGGGTGTGCACAGTTCTGAGTCTCCTACAAAGAAAGATTAATAAAACTTGTTAATATATAAATATTTTGAGAATTGACTGTGTAGACTAGGGGTCCCCAAACTTTATCCTGTTGACCCTTTTATAGAATATTTGCCTTCTTATCAACCCCCAAATTAAGTATTTAACAAAAACATTAAATCATTTTTGCATTTCTAATGTTAAGCGATAAAAAGTCCTGCATAACAACCCAACAAATATCTTATAAAATATCTTAAAACCCATATCTTATAAAATACATCCAATAACATTAACAGAAAAAGGAAATCTTTTTCACTAATTTATGATCTTAAAAAATAATAGCAAAATTATGGATAGATGGAAATTTGCCTATAGTTCTTAAACTGTACGTGTCATAATACGTAAATTACAAACTTATCTTTGAAAACATAAGTTATATTGGATGAAAAAAACCTCTTACTGTCATTTTGCAACTACTACTGAATTCCTTAAAAATATGTTGACATGCCTTTTTATTAAAATAGTTGATATTAGTGGGATGGATTATTGATTATTGCAGCAAGATTATTGGTATGTGGTTGAAAATTGGTAAGTTTTAGTCGCAAATCACCACAGTTTTCCAATTTCAATCTGTTCCTCTGTTTTGTCAAAATTGCATTTGCGTGGCTAAAACCAGCTTCAACCATGTATGAAGTTGGGAATGCAAGAAAGAAAGGTTCGGCTTCTGCTCTGAGCTTGGAATATTTAGGGCAATATTGTTATTGCTCCAAAATTCACTGAGGTTTTTATTTTTAAACAATGTTTATATTTAAACAATGCAAAAACCAGCTTCAACCATGTATGAAGTTGGGAATGCAAGAAAGAAAGATTCGGCTTCTGCTCTGAGCTTGGAATATTTAAGGCAATATTGTTATTGCTCCAAAATTCACTGAGGTTTTTATTTTTAAACAATGTTTATATTTAAACAATGCAAAAACCAGCTTCAACCATGTATGAAGTTGGGAATGCAAGAAAGAAAGATTCGGCTTCTGCTCTGAGCTTGGAATATTTAAGGCAATATTGTTATTGCTCCAAAATTCACTGAGGTTTTTATTTTTAAACAATGCTTTAGCTTTGAAATCTACATATATTTCACTCAGTCCATCTTCTAAGCCAGGTTCACTACCTTCATTAGAGAGGTTGAGGCAGACGTTTTAAACGTGTAGGTCGGACGTTCGGCGCCGCTTTCCCGTAAGCCTAAAAGTTTGACAATGGTGTTTGGATAGTCGGTGGAATCATGCTCGACATTCCAAACACCATCGTCAAACTTCTAGGCTTACGGGAAAGCGGCACCGAATGTCCGTCCTACACGTTTACACGTTTAAAACATCTGCCTCAACCTCTCTATTATCTATTTTTACATCAAATGGATTAGCAAACCATTCGGAAACATGCATATTCTCCAAGTCTTCGAAACGTGCTTTAAAGTCTTCTCTTAACTTATCAAAATGTTTAATATATATCTCCAAATCACGGTTGGAAATTTTTTCATTTTCTTTTAGTACTCGCAAGTTTGAAAAATATTTAAAATCGGATAGTGCCAATGAAGATTTAAATAGCTCCATTTTTACTTGAAAGGCCATAATGATTTTTCGAGCTTGAACAATTGTGACGTTTTTTCCTTGCAAACGCTTCTGTACTATATTAATAATTTCTGACATATTACAATATTTTCTCTGTAAAGGACAAAATATCTACATTTAGATATAAAATACTTAAAGTGACAACCCTACTAGAGTATAACAGTGCAACGTATGTCTGTGTATAATGAACTACCAGCATTCATAACATGTTTGCAACACTAGTACAGTTGCCAGATCCGTGAAAACAGAGTAACACATGCTTAAAGCAGCATAGGCTAAGGCAAAACTCAAGTTATAACTAGGGTAGTCAGTAATGTTGTTGATCATATCTGTATTTCAAATTTTTATTGGAATATTCTATTTTTTTCCTAGACAGTTTAATTGATCCTCTTCGGTATTAATCGACCCCCTGAAGAACTCTTATCGATCCCAAGAGGTCAATATTGACCACTTTGGTGACCCCTAGTGTAGACACACAAACAGATGCTCATATATGTGCAAAAAACAGAAATATATTAGTTAATTTATCTCAATATTAATTAATATATACAAGTAAATTTACTCATATGTTTGCAAATAATTAAGAAAGTATGCAGACCAATAAATTTCTTGTTTTAAAATTGACTAATTCAAAATTTTGAATTTACAACATTAGTTGGCAAATGTAATTGTATTAAGGTAACCAAAATTAATTTATACTTATAAAAGACATCAATATCAAGACATTTATAATTATAGTATTTTAATGTTATTTAGTTTATAATTACATTTTCTATGTACAGTACTTTGGATATGCGGTTGAAAATTGGTAAGTTTTAGTCGCAAATCACCACAGTTTTCCAATTTCAATCTGTTCCTCTGTTTTGTCAAAATTGCGTTTGCATGGCTAAAACCAGCTTCAACCATGTATGAAGTTGGGAATGCAAGAAAGAAATTTATGCAAGATGAAAAATTTGATTAAAAAAATGCCAGTTAATAATAATTAATTTTCATTTTATCATATATTTCTTTTATATAAATCCTTTCAGTAATATAAAAGTTTATTCTATAAATTATAACAAATGCCATATTTGTATTTCAGAAAGTTTTTTGTTTTCTCTAAAAGATTTCTAAAAAAAAAAAAAAAGTCAAAAACACAACTTTAAACAATTTACTTTTTAATTAAACATTGTTCTAATTTTTAACATGTTGAAATGTTCTATAATTTTAAATCCATCATTTCACTTATTTTTGATGTACTGAAGATGTCTCCAAGTTGAGTAAAAAATGTTAATTTAATAAAATTTAGATTTAGTTTTAATTGAAAAAACTATTTTGTGTTATTTATTCAATTATATTTACAGTCATTTTTACTCATTAATTTCTGTAGATCATCTTATTGATAAAATTATTATAACTTTTTCATTCTAAAACAGAATTTAATAGCATCTCTATTTAAATATTTAAGTTTTAGTTTTAAAACTTACCTTAACAGTACTTGTCAAAGGTGTTACTAAAGACTGCTTGGTATTACACACAAGATGTAAAATGTGAGGACCTTTCTCGTCCTATTGAAAATATTTTCAAATAAATAATTATACTAGAATTTTAATTCTCATTACACAAAAATATATTTAAAACAGAACATGAAGAAGTGACTGGTGCAAAAACCAAAATCTTTGATTTTGCATCAGTCACTTCATTAAATTCTCTAACATTCAATGAAATAAAGATAGTTTTTCCCATACAAAATTTATTGTTTATACCACTGAAAAGAGAGTCACTTCACTTCCTTTATAATCTTTTGTTCAAATATTGCATTCAATGCTTTTGTTCAATTCTAAATACTGGTGCAACTGTATTTAGTCTCTTCTTCTTTTTGTATCATTTTCTTCTCTATTTTTTCAGCTTATTTTGAGATCATTGTTATAACACTCAAAATTCACTTTAAAAATTCCTTTACTGCAGAATAAAGACAGCACTTTAAAATGTAGAAATTATGTATATGCATAACAGACTGATGAGAATCTCATTGTCAGTTTTAGAATAATTAATATATACATTTTTTATTAAAGCTTTTTTTGGTTTAAAAAAGTCATTAAAGAAAATCCTCATTAATTCAAATTTGGATAGTTCAAAATCCTTAACTGTTAGTTTGTAACTGTATTTTTGTCCAAGTTGGGGATATAAAGATTTATACATTAGGAAATTCAGGTAGTTTGAAATATAGCTTCTTCAAAATTCAAAGTGAAAATTCTCTCTAAACTGTGATAAGCATACATTAACTCATTCATTTAGATTGAAGTGCCTCCATGCTACAAGACAACAATAGATCTCTAACAATAGATCATCATCATCTCTAATCTGGTCAATATAGGTTTGCTTCACAGCAACACATTTTTGGGTGTCACTTTACCCAAGGACTACCCCTTTCCTTTTCTTATCTCATAGAATACAGCTGGTTTTCCAGATTGATATGATATGATATGTTTAAAAGTGTTAGAAGGCTGAACCTTACGGCATAGCCTTTGAAAAGGAAGGATGAAGAGTTTTAGAGGAAGTGAGAAGAGGATAAACACCCAGCGTATAGCCGAGCAACTTCCACCTCTTTCCTGAACAGAAAAAGTGGCTCTCTTAGCCTCTTTTTCTGCTCTTCTTTTTCTGGAAGTCGAGACTTCAGGGCAGCGGTTCGAGACTAATGATGATCTTCAAAACAATGTTAGGGCCCATCTCAAGTCATTGGCAGCAGCATTCTATGAAGAGGGAATGGAAAAGCTTGTCACAGATAGGACAAATGCCTCAATCTTCACGATGAATATGTTAAAAGTAACCATGTTTGTACCTAACTTTTGGTAATAAATTCATTTTGTTATTTAAACTTGTCGGTTTTTTATGGACCATCGGAGGTTGAAAAAAAAAGCCTACATATTTGACTGGTCTCTTGTATTTGAGTTCAAGACTTCTGGTCTACTATATCATCTTTATAACCAGAGAAAAATTAACAAATATTATAGTTAAAACTTAAAAATAATTTATTAATTAATAGAATTATTATATTATTAGTTATGAAAAAATTGGAAATTCATTTCTTTTATGATTGAAAAACTGAAAATAACTCATTACACTAACAAAACTAGTAAAACAAAAATTATTTTATATTATTATTACAACTATTTTTATTTGCATTTAGATTTGTGATCAAATTATATTAATTGTTCTATAATTAACAAAATCATTCCAACAATAATTTGTATATTATTTTATAACTTACGTAACGAAGAATATCTTTCAGCTTCAAATGATCATGTAGTAATCTTCCTGAATATATCAATTTCTGGTCTTCAACAGCCTATAAAAATTAAAAGCAAGAAAAACAATGTAACTTTTATCTTAAGAAGTTATTATTTTAATTACTTTAAATTGTAATAAACAACTATTTATTATCATTAAACTAATATAATAATAAAGTGCAAGTTAATAATGATCAATTCAATTCCATTCTTTTAATAAAAATATACTCTTTCGTTAACTGTGAGTTTAAATGGTTTTTTGTAAATAATAAAATATTACTGTAAAATGATAGTTTTTCAGTTAAAGAAGTATATTACCATAGATATTTTTCATTATTATTGACGAGAGAAGTAAGAAATCAAACAAGCTATAACTAAAAATAGTCTGAAAAACACTTTTTACACTAATAGGCCTGTCATGATGCTGATTAAAACATTTTATTTTAATAATTATAAATTTTTCAAACAATTTAAAAACTCAGACTTGTTTTAAACAAATTTATCATCAAGTAGCAATTATAAATGTCTAATTTCAAAAATATTTTTAACCATATGAAACTGCATCAGTTAGCTCTTCAATTTTTTTTTCATGAATGAGTTGAAAAATAATTTCTTAACATACATCATAATATATTTTTAAAAAATTGAAATATAAATTTATATTAATAATTTGACTTTCTAAATTTCATTTCAAATACTTGAAGTTATAAATGAGATTTACATTTCATATATAATTTCTTATTACATACAATTTTCTTAATACAATACAAATTCTTCTTAATACATACAAATTCATTATTACATACATCTTCTTAATACAAATATTTTCTTTAAAAAAAGTGAGGAATATTATAAACAATTACAAAACTATTTGCTAGTATCCTGCAAAAAAAGTGAATAAAACGTCTAAATATAAAGGACTTGTGTTCAATGTCTCAGAGCTTGGTTTATAATTACTGTACTTTTGTACTCATGAGTGTGTTTAAAAGAAATTTTAAAGTAGCGTGGATTATATATTAATCTTAAACAGCAGACATAATGTAAACAATGGGGCAGGTTTTGCAAAGATTTTATTTTCATCTAGCAATTTTCTTTGGGTCATTGCCACTATGCATTATACGGCAAATTTACCATTTGTAGACAATTCTAAGCTATATATCAAATCATTAGATAACTTCCATATTTTGTTTTAACAAAGCATATAATCCCTAATTTACAGCAATGCACAATCAAAATTAAAACTAAAATACAGTTGACCCCCCTATAACACTGTTGATTTTTCCGTTTTATATGAATTCCATGTTGTACGAGTCACTTAAATTTTACAAATATGTGTACCGGGCTGTGAACGGCTCACATATTTGTAAAACCTAACTGACTCGTACAACATGGAATTCATACAAAATGGAAAAATCAAAAGTATTATAGGGGGGTCGACTATAGATTTCAGATAATATTTAAAAACCCAGTAAAATTTGATATGTTAATATAACAATTTCTGTATTATAAATTCTTAGCACACTTATTAATTTAATAAATAATTGAAAATGTTCAATATCGATAACAATAACTTTTAAATAAACAAATAATTTCAATTAAATGATAAGTAAAGAACTCAATAATTTAACATAATGTCAAACTAAAATCTACTGTGCATAAACTATAATATAAATTCCAACAATTTTGAAGAAAAGGAAATTAGTTAAATTAAATATTAAACAAAAATAATTAAAAATTAACAATTTTGTCAAAAGTTTATATATCTAAAATTATTTTGTGACAGTAATTAAATCATATTTTTTTTAGAATTTAATTTAATAAATTTTAGTATTGCAGAAATATGATCTATGCAATATGTATACATTTAAATAAGTTTAATAATAATTTGTGTAAAAATTTGGACAGATATTATTTTTATTAATAAATATGTAAGATCATATTACAGTTTAAAATAATTAAAGTTCAGTAAGAATTATTAATAAAGCTATTGAACAAAACAATAAAAAAGTATGGACAATGTTATAATTACAATAATTAATTTAATCAGAAAATTTACAAATAAAAATTGTAAACAATTCTAAAAACAAAAATAGCTATTAATGAGAAATAATTATATATCATTACTTTAAATTGCAATTTAATAGAGCATTTAATAATTAATTTAATGGCATGAATATAGCAAATCTATTGTTAACCAGCTATAGTCATTAATAAAGTGGCTGTGTCTAATAATCCACCAAGATACAGTGCCTAAATAATTTTCATATAGTAAACAACTACAAATAATAAAACTTTTGATATTTTAAAATTATTTTCTATGTTCAGGATTTATTGTACGTACTTTATCTATATATAATTATATATATGCATACCTGCTTTTTTAATTTATTAATGTAATAAAGCAATTATGATATTTAATTTTTCAAAAATAAATTTATTTATATAATTTAAAATATTAGTATAAATAATTAATTAGATAAAAAATTCTGTTTATATAAAAAGGTTTTTAACATTTGTTTATTAGTTTTTGAATTATATTTAAGACAAATATCAGATAATATTTAGTTGGAAAAATAATGATATCATCTTATAAATTATCCAAGATGACTAAAAACTAACCTATAATTTACAATATAACAGCTGGAGTAAATCAACTATGATAATTTTTATATGGGTTAAATTTTTAATTACATCAAAAGTACTTCAATTCAATAAATAATGATGGTATCTTTTATATTTTACTTAATTTTTTAGACTAGTTAATAGCACATTTATCAATAACTGTATTTCATATTTTAATTTATAAATCATTTTTCATAATTTTATCTGTTTATATAATACATTTCATGTTTTAAATTTCTCTTTTCTATTTTCTGAATCCAATTAGTCAGAAACCAATGCATAAAATTTAGAAATGTTTGTTTCTTTAGAAGCATCCTATTTCAGAATTTTATATTTATAATTTAATACTGAATTTTATTTTGCCTTCTTGTATCAGTTTGCAACTGCACTGTTACTTATCATACATTCTAATAAAAATAGCATTTCTGATCGAGACTATAAGCTAAATTATATATAACAAACACAACAAAATATGAATTACAGTAAATAATCACTTATCTGATCTAAAAATAAAAGCAGAAAGTCAAAAAGTACAAAAAGAAATTTTTAATGTAATAATTGTTTACATAACTAAAAATAAAATTCTGATAAAATGTAAAAGTTGCATTTTCAATAAAATTTAAAAATATGCATAATAATTAAAACATAATAGCTAGTATCATAAATTCTGTAATATTTTTAAAAATTAATTTTACAAATTTTCCTTAGTTACAACATTGTAAATTTTAACAACACTTAAGTGTTGTGACATTACCAAAATAAACTTTAAAAATGAAAATGTTTGCTAGTACTTTCAGTAGCATAAAGTTACTGTCGTCAGGCAAAATCAAATACAACAGCTATCGAATTTTAAAATTATAAGCCGTATGTGAATGGAAAATAAAACAAATTTGAATTAGAATGATGTTCTAATTCAAATTTGTTTGTATAAAACAGTAATTACAGGTGACATAATTTACCCAAGGTTACATAGCAAGCAATAGATAAAGCAAAAATGATTATGCAAAGAAGAACTAAAATTGTAGGTTGAATTGCTTGAATAATGTTACACATAATTGTGGGATTTCAAGGGTTGGGGTGTTGCACGGTGTTATTGCTGTTATGTAGAGGTTCTCCCAAATAAACAATTCTTTCTGATTGTTGCACCATTTGAGTAGTTTTGTTTGGGCCAAGAGTGGTTGATAATTTTGATCAAGCACTTTTTTTCTAATTCCGTTGATGGTCTACTGTTTCTGATGTTCTATAATATGAGAGTTTAACATTCTGGCCTTGGCCCCTATGTAACTAGTTTCATCACCTGACAGAACATGCTTTAATGGATAGATCCCAGATTTTTTGTTCAATTCAAATACATCTTTGTCATTGCATAATAATCTTCTTAAGGTTGGTTGTGGAGTTATCCATAAAATAAAACCTTTCTTTCTGAAGCAATGTACTATTTTTAGAGAGATAGGGCCTAAGGAGGGTGAGCTATTTTTAGATTCTCTTTATTACTAAAATGAAAATAGCTTATTTTTGACACAATTTTGAAGAAAATGAAATTTAGACAGAGAAAATCCAGCTTTTTTCATTGCTCTGTTAATGATTAGTAATTCTTCATCTACAAATGCTTGAGTAGAAGGGAGAAGGAATGCCCTCTTAATAAGGGAAAATATGGCAGAGTTGATGAAATTAAGGGTTAGAAGGCTGTAGTGGGGATAATTTGTGGTGCATCATTGTTTCTATGATGGACAGAAAATAGGAGATCAGGATATGTATGAATTTCTAAATCTAAAAATGATATTTTGGCATTTTGTTCTTCCTCTACAGTGAATCTCATCAAAGAATAAACAGAGGCCAACAATTGAATAAATTGCTCTAAGTCTTCATTCGAGCCATCCCACATGAGTCAACACAATGTAAATACATAATTGAATAATGGATGGTCAAGGGGGCATTGAAAATACAATGTTCTATGGTACTTTGGTGTTTGTGAAATTATAAAATGAAACCTCCATTGTTATGGCTTCTTTTCAGTGAGAAGTTTTCCTTAGCCAATAGAACTTTTTGCTCAATTTCTTCCTGGACTGATGAGCTTTTTTGTTGGCTAAATCTCTTATTTTATCCAATTGTTGGTATAAAATTTTTGCATCACATTGTTTTACGAAATGTACATGGGCCAGATATAAATCTTTTTCATTTTCTGCTATTGCTTTTCATTTGCTCTTGATTAATTTTGTTAGAAGTCTTCATTCAATTTGAGGTAATAAGGTTCAAACCTCATTAGGAAATGAGTCATACTTAAGCACTATGCATTTGGGGATGAGACGTGTTTTACAACACTTTAGTAAAAACCATAGCTGTGCATTTTGCTTTAACCACAAAATTCTTGTATTCAATAATGAAAAGAAGTGTTTTCTATTAGTTTCCATAGTAAAATAACTTGCACTTCATGCCAACTCTTGTATATATAGTAAACAACAATGCCTGACGACAGTAACTTTACGCTACTGAAAGTACTAGCGAACATTCATTTTTAAAGTTTATTTTGGTAACGCTGCAACACTTAAGTGTTATTACTATATACGAGGTCTGTTCAAAAAGTATTGGACTTTTATTTTTTCCGCGTAAACCAATGATGCGCGGGAGGCCTCTTTCAGTGGAGTTGTGGAGGGGACAGTCATGCACAGCTCTGAATTTTTTCCCGCCTGCAGGAAGCATCAGTCGTTGGCAGTTGTGGTGCATCATTGTTTCTATGATGGACAGAAAATAGGAGATCAGGATATGTATGAATGTGAGCTCTCATCGGATTCCACTAAGTTGGAAAATGACTGAACAACGTGAACAGCAATATTACATCAAATTTTGCCAAAAACCTTGGCAATACCCAAGCATAAACCATTCGCAAGATTCAGCAGGCTTTCGGGGACGATCCTCGAGGTCAAAAAAAAGCGCGGCAGGTCCGCAGCAATATCAAGGTCATGTTGACAGTTTTTTCGACTCTCAAGGGGTGGTGTATCGTGAGTACGCACCACAAGGCCAAACCATCGCAAAGGAGTACTACCAGGAGGTCCTTCGTCGTCTTTCTGATGCTGTGCGACGCAAACGACCAGATCTGTGGTCGATCAAAACTTGCCAGCTCCATCGTGATAACGCATCTGCCCATTCTGCGCATCTGATTCGGGCTTTCGTCGCCAAACACAACACTCCTGTGGTTCGTCATGCTCTGTACTCTCCCCACATGGCTCTGTGTGACTTTTGGCTATTTCCTAAGCTGAAAATGCCGCTAAAAGGAACCCAATTTTAGTCGTAAGAAGACATCGTATGGAATGCGATGGACTGGCTTATGGCCATTTCAAAAGATGCGTTCCAGCAGTGTTTCCAGCAATGGCAGGAATGCTGGGAGAAGTGTATACACTACCAAGGAGACTACTTTGAAGGGGATTAGGGTTTTGTACCTCAAAATCAATAAATGTATTTTTGCCGACCAAGGTCCGATACTTTTTGAACAGCCCTCGTATACAAGAGTTGGTGTGAAGCACAAGTTATTTTATTGTAAATTTTACATTATTACTTCAGTTTAGATTTGAAAATACAGTAAGGACCATTGATATGTCTCTCAAGGAACTAGGCAAACAGATATCCAGAAAAGATGTATAATTTAAATTTAATTCAAGATGCACCACAAGACAGAACTAAAAGTTTTTGTGCAAAATTCATGGTATTATAGTTTTTAATGAATGTTTTAACTTTTATTTTACATCTTTATTATTATGGAAAAAGATAATACTTTTTGTTGTACATATTTTTTTGATGTTACACTGGCAGTAGTTGGGTAGAAATAATCTATATATTTGATTAACAAAAATAAATTTTAAAGTAATTTTTTAATTAAGACTGAAATTCCAAAAATTTGTAATGAAAGTTATATTGCCTCAAATTTTGCAGTTATAGAATAAACACATATACTTTATTATAAATGCTTCATAATCATTGGACAATAATCAACAACTAATATTCCTAATACTATCTCTGAGAAATACACTTGCTGGAGTCAATTTTACATCATATAATTCCAGAAATATTCAGAGAAAAGTGTGAAAATAGAACAAAGAATATATTTTTTAAAGAAATAATATGTTATCCATTATCATTATCAAAAAAGAAGAGACATAAATAAAACTGAATAATTAAATTAGATATATAAATCACCAATATAATTTGCCATTGAAAGAAATATGAATATTTTGGGATCAAGATAAAACAATATATAAATGTGAAACATATAAATAGTCTGTGGAACAGCTAGAGGGGGTCAAGGGGTCCTGGTACCCTCCAAAGGAAAAGGAAAACAAATAATAGAAAGTTCTCCAAAAATCTTTTAATTACAATTCATTTTTTTTATTTATATTGTATCATCTCTTCTATTTCTATACTACTTATGAATTAGTGTTAAAACATGGTTGGAATTTTATTGAATTTGCATTAAAAATGTTTTTTATCCATTTAACTCGGCTCCCCAAGATTAAATCCTGAGTGCACAAACGTAAATAGTGTTTCAATATATTTGATTTGAATTGATAATGTCTAACTGAAAAGTTTTCAAAATAAAAATGTAGTATATTTTTTTAAATCAATGTTTTAAAATTTTAGTTTATTTTTGTTTGAAGTCTGCAGACTTAAAATAATGAAAAGAGCAATGAGTTATTTGTTGTAAGGCATCTATCTAATTCTGAAAAACTCAATAATATAATAATTCACAGTAATAATTGATAAAATAAAATCAAGAAACTTACTAAAGGAAGTTAGAAAGTTGTTTTCAGATCATTAAAAATAAAATTTAGTTTCAAGAACATGTATTTTGTATTCAGTATTTATTTCTTTGTTAAATGATAAAACTTATTATAAGAAGTAATTGAAATAAAAAATAATTTAAATTTAATTTAATTTTGGAAAATAGTCAATCTCTCTTACTTTTTCTTGAAAGTTAATTAAATTTAGATGAATGATATATTTTGTATTTAAAAATACAAAAGATATATTTTTAAACTGTTGAAAAGTACATAAATTGAATCTATAATTAATTAATAATAATCATTCTTTTTATAATATAAACTTAATCAATAATAAAAAAATTATTTTTAGCTCAAGACTTTTTTATTAAATGTAATTTGGAACTGGTTTATACACTAAGAAATGTAACTGGTTTTTTCATATATTAAGAATTAAATAGGTATTAAAAAGGACATTTTTCAATATATTTGCTGTTTTAACTTTATATAGTTTAAAAAAATAGAACTGCTATTTAAATTTTTTCCAATAGTCCAATTATTCTGATACAAGATTAATTTTGTTTAGTCTTTTAAATTAGAAATGAATTAAAGTTAATACTATAATTAAAATCTCTAAAATCAGCATTTGTGATTTGCAAATTTAGAAAATTAAATGTTAACACTTTCATTAATTAACACTAATACTTTTGTATTCATAAAAAGTATTTGTTAGTCTGAATTGATATTCCATTCACGCCAAACATAGAAAACAGCTATCAAATTTACTGATTTTACATATTAAATTTAAACATAATAATTAGTTTTGGCTTAATGTAGATGAGCAATTTTCTATTGATAATATTTGAATAATTCTTAATGGCAACAAACATTTAAAAATTACGTCATTAAACCAAATTAATAGTGCATGTGAAAATTTGTAACTTATTAATTAATAATATTTTCAATCAAACAAATCAGAAGAAAAAAAAAATTATTTTTTTAATAACATCTTGGTAATATAATTCTTAATAAGCAATATTAAACAGGTTTCAGAGAAACAAGTTTTTAATTATTTCAACTTCAGCTTTAACAACACAAATTCTAATTAACAAACCTGTCACATATTATAAAACAGATAATCATCCTTAATGAAAAATATTTTTTTAATAAGTTATATCATTCTTATATAATTTTTACTTACAGGCTTTCCAGGATAAGTTTCAGATATGTGAACTTTTAAATATTTTACAGTCCAATCTATTTGGCATTCAAGTGGATAATCACTAATTTTCTGATTAGGTGCTTTTATTAACAAATTAATAGTTTTATTCATTGCTTCCATAATGAAGATAAACTCAGATATTCCTAGAAGAAACGAAAAAAGTATTTTGTTATTTATCAATTTTATAAATTATGAAAAATACAAACTTAAACAATAATAAAAAAATTTAGTTTGTTAATTTGTATTTTTAGTTAAAAACAGAAACATCAGAATTAAATTTCTATTTTTTTAAATAACTTTTCTTTGCATCTAAATAAATTTAAGTCAAGAGATTATAAATTCTTCTGAAAAAATAATGAACTAAATACATAGAAAATCGGGCCAAAAAAAAAAACAAAATGTAATACTCAAAAAGATATAAAATTTTTTTAAGTTGTTTAAAATTAATATGCAAGAGATGTTTGAAATTTTCAATCAAGGTTTAGCTATTATACAGTTTTAAAACTTGATCATTTGAAATATTTATTCTTAGCAATTTAATAGCAATTTATTCTTAACAAACAGATTACTCAAATAGAATTCAAACTTTTGACAATCAAATAGGCAAAAGTTCAGAAGACTATTTACAAATAACGACCAGACAGCTGAGCAGTCAAAAGGTATCGGCCCAAGCTCCAGGACACCAGAAAGACACGGAAACAAGTAAAAAAAAAACCTGGAAATTTCTTTGGAGTGGCCAATCCCGGATACGTCGGGACCCTTTTCCTCTGCCACGGAACCGGTTGCCACACACCACCGGGTCCGCAAGGCAAAGGGTTCGATAAAAAAGTCCCTCTCAGTTTGGCATCCACAAGGCAGAAAAGGGAAAAAAAGAAAGACTAGAAATTTGTAATACTTTTTATTTCTGTAGAAAACAAAAAAAGTATAATTTATAATTGAATCATCTAAAAAAAATGTAATAATAATAATGCAAAAATTATAAAACAAAGTTCTGAAACTTGCACAAGTATTCATTACACAAATTTCACCATCTAATCAACGTCATCATAAAAATAATACGGACGTATTCGTTTTTGTTTATCTTATTTACTTGGAAGAGCTATCACGTTTGTATTTCATTCGCAAGTTTCAGAGTATTTCAAACATATTTTAATTAAACATTCTGCAACTTGCAAACTTTAAAAAAAACACAAACACATTATATAAATAGTTGTATGCATATAACATAAATAACATTAACATACATTAATCAATTCGTATATTATTACACCAATTTCTTATTTATTTAAACCCAGTGTAATATATAGAAACGAGTGCTTAAATTTACGAAAATCAAAAAAACATAAACGAGATTTTGAATGAGACATTTAAATTTAAAAGACCAAATCATAAGTTAGGCCTAACTTCATTCGCTTAACAAAGGTAAATTAAGTAAAGTAAAAAGTTTTAAACAAATCGATTCGTAAGATAACATAAATCTTACCAATCTCGAGCGAGAAATAAGAGCGAAACTCTTGTAAACTAACCAATTTCCAACGTATACAGTTTATAGAACTACCTCAACCCAACAAAACCACCATCTCGAATTAGTCTTAGTTGTCGATATGTGATTGGTCATCGGAGCGCGATCTTAATCACGTGATTCACGGAGGTGAAGCCAGTCGTCACGTGATTCTAGTCATCACGTGACTTGGTGTCTGGATTCTGACGACGGAGGACGGGCTCTTGTTTATAAAAGGTTTTCATATTGGTACTTAAAACGTATTATTAACTTGCGTAAGTGTTACGTTCTTTCATATTCGTTACGTCTTTATAAGGTTTACATGGTAATTATTTAATGTTCTTAATAATAGAATTTAATTTCTGATTCTATTGATTTATGTTTCACATCTATTATCATTTTTTATGGATTATAAACCAGTCTCAAGTCTTTATAATACAAACATATTAATTATAAAAATAAACTTAATTATAGATTAATTCACTTATAAATTGTGCTGATCTGTACAGTACAATACTTTACAGGACATATTTATTTAATAATTTCATATTTATCTCAAGATTGTTTAAAGGTAAATGCTTTAGGAATATGCAAGTTTGTTTATGAAACCATATATTTAAATTTTTAAATATTTTTTTCCAGACTTTCGGTCGTGTATGGAAGCAACATTTTGCATTGTAACCAAATTTCTGTTCTTATAATACACCTGTCGTGTTAATTAATTAAAAGATTTAATAGATGTATTAATTACAGTTTTAATCTGCACTGGACAAAATAACAAAAAATATTTGTTGCTAATGATATTAACTATTATTCATCCGGATCATGAAAAAAATTTTTTATCAAATGATTTAATTAATTAGAATTTGAGCAATTTTTTCCCAAGTTACTGCAATAATTTCGGGGTAATTCAATGATTTTCAAAGTATGTTACCAGTACATTTGACTACTGGTCTGCAAGTATGAACCAAGTAGTCTATAGACTGGTCTTAGTCATTTTTCAAAATGTAATACTAAGCCATTTGGCTAAAGAAAAGAACATCTTCACTCACCACATATCTCTTAAGTTAGGTTACTTTGTAGACAAAATATTTTGGCACACAATCTATCATTATCTAAGGTGATATTTACAGGTATGTGCCCGGAGGTATAGGTGGTCCATAGTTCATCTGTGACTTGGTTTAAGTAGTTTGCAGAACAACAACCTTGAGAACCACTAGTTTAAATAATTGTATGTTAGAGAATTACATGTATTTTTTTATCAGTAAAATGTTTACATAAAATTGAAATAATTTTGATTTAAAAATTAATTAATGATTTTTTTATATTTGATATGTTTAAAAAGTTGAAAAATATATAACTAAGTTGAATCTGTAAAGGAAATATGACAGTTTATGCTGAGTAATAATTTGCATCAACAGACTTTTCTTATCGTATGCTAAAATATTCAAATGATAATTTTTAAAAATTTAATGAATTTCTGTTTTAATCTAGGCCTATGTCGAATTTTACTGATTTCTATATACCATAATAGCTTTTCAGAAAATTCATTCAGGAGAAATATTTATAGTCTACTTCATTAATTTTAGGAGAATTGAACTCTGCTTCATTCCATATTCAGAAATTTTGAGTCTAGGATTTGAATTCATATCCATACTTAATGATGTAACGTACATATACATCAATCATTAAAGATTGATGATATAGATTTTATATATTATATTTCAAAAAACTCTAAAAATTATAATTTTGTACTAGAAAATTGTATTGAAATAAACAATCAAAATATTATATGTATTATAAAATAAAGTTTTTCCTTTTTAATTCCAGTTAAACATATTTTTTTCTTTTTTAAAATTAATGATGATAAAATATAATTTTCAGAGTAATATTTGTAGTTTAAAACTAATATTTTGTGACAGGATTTTGGGATATTTTATTCATCATTTATAATCATAAGTACTATTAATAAGATGTTTGAGATTAGTCTTACTGTATAAGGTAATATGGTATTTATTAAAAGATCATAATTAATTTAAAATAACAAAAATTCATTGAATTCATTATTTTGGTTTATTGAATCAATTAAATTTTATTGCTATATTTTAGAAGAAAAATGATGCCAGGATCCGGAGAAGATGCTGTAAGAACAACAGGAGGACAAGTTGATTGTATGTTTTTGTTATTATTATTATTATTCTAATATTTTTTAAATATTAAACTTCTAATACGGCATTTAAATTTTTATCATAATTATTCAATTATTATTTGATTTTAATTATAAAACATATAACTTTTTAGCTATAGTTTTAGCTCTCATTGATGCCTTATATGATAAAGATGAAAATGTATGTCAAACAATATGCAATTCATTATACATTTTGGGAAAACAGCAACCTAATCTTGTTCTCAGCAGTTGTCTCTCTTATCTCCTTCGACATCCAAAGGTAAGCTTATGTGTACATGGTTCTATATTATAAATAAACTTCTCAGATATGGCATTTTTAACATTTTATATACTGTAAATTACAAAATTACAAATTTAAAATAATCATTTTTAAATTGTGTTGCAAAAGTAAAATATAGAACTGATAATGTCAGATTATTACATTTTTATAGAAGTTGTGAAAAAAGTATGTGTTACATAAAAAATTAAATAGAAATTTTAAATATACTGTATTTTAAAAAATTAGAATCAATAATAATTTTTTTGCATGTTAATTGTTTGTCCATTATGTATTAAGTTATTAAAGTAATTAGACTTCAACCAATGCCGAATTCTATCAGGCTNTTACAGTAATACCCCAAACTTAGGTGGGACTGAGCGATAATTGTGTAAGTCAAATTTGCATAAGTCAGGGTATAATTTCTCAATTTGTGTAAAATCCAAGTTGGTTGTATATAAGCTAATAAATGTTCTCGTAATAAATGTTCTCGTTAATCTTATCTAGTCTTTTGATTTGTTCACGGTTACAAGAAATCACCACATAGTCTCTCAAATCTTTGTAGATATAACAAACACAGAAATAAATTGTAACTATGTGTCAATTCTGCATGACACGTCCGAACATGTAAGCCGAACAATAGTATGGGTGGAGCGAGTAATCGAGAGTTGTGTGGTGCTCAAACAAAAGACGAATTGACGAGATTTGAAAATCGCGTAACTCCAGGTTTGCATAAGTTGGGGTAGCGTAAGTCAAGGTATTATTGTATATAAAAAATTTTTTAAAACTGTTGTATCCACCGTACTTTCTGGCGTATAAGACAACCGCCAACTTTTGAGAAGATTTTCCTGGGTTAAAAAGTTGTCTTATACACCGGAAAATATGATATTTGTTTTGATATCACAAAAATAATGGAAAAGATGTTAAGATATGAGTTAAGTATTGTTTATTTTTTCTTTTTGCAATTTATAATGCCTTCTTTTATATTCTAAAATTATTAAATACAGTTAAGCTCTGATTTATACCAGGTTTACATTCTGTTACCTAATGGTTGTTAGCTAAACTATCAAAAATTAAAGAATAATTATAATGTGTTTTAGATGAGCTAGATTTCTTCATTAATGAAAATTGACTTTGAGTTAACAACAAATATTTAAATAAAAAGCAATTATGTTAGATAAATAATATTTTTTCCAAAAATGTATGTAATGAAGTAAAAGTTTAACTTTATACAACAGTCATATAGAACCATTTTCTTGGCTCTTTTACATACAACAGAGGGAAAGTATGGCTCTGTCAAAAAATGACCCCCAAGATTTTTACATTTTTGGATTCAGAAGACATTGAAATGTCAAGAAATGCAAAAAAAATTCAAGGATTTTTTTTCTGTATGTATGGATATGTATGAGTGTGAGTGGGGGTGGGGATGATTTTGTTCACTCTTTTTGAAACTTAATAACTCCTGTGCATTTTGTCAAAAATTTCTGAAAGTTTGAACGGAGGTTTGTGTATTCAGGGATTGATGCTATTAATTTTGGTGATTAAAGGTTGAAAGTGTGGAGAGATAAAGTGGGATCATGTGTCATATCTTGACTAGAGTCACATTTAATGACAATTTTACTCATTATTAGCATTTACAATGTTTATAAACATCCTTACAAACCTGATGTAATGCAATAACTCGCCAACAACTACCGTAAGTCATCGGGATATAATTTGGAATAAATTATTCTAAATTACAAATTAATTTAGCACTAGAGGAAGGTGTTAGGTGCCATGTCATTATTAAAATTAACAATTAAGTATTTAGTTTTATTAATTTTAATACGACATGTCACTTAATGCTTCCCCTCTAGTGTTAAATTCATTTGCAATTTAGAATAATTTATTCCAAATTATAGCTTGATGATTTATGGCAGTTGTTGTTGAGTTATTTACAATGTTTTATAAAACCCTTCCTTAATCTCAAAATTAAGCTCTTTGCCATTTTATAATAATTAAAAATTATAAAAAGTTTTTTAAATAAAATACCATAACAGATGACATCACACATGTAGTTTTAAATATTGCTGGGAAAGTTAAGCAACTTGTTGCTGGATTTTTTTGAATGTGTATTAACACCACTGTCTGTCTCTTTTCTTATTTTATTTTCCTCTTTTTGTGTTTTATGACAGTGAAATAATGTGGAATCATTAATAGAATGGGCTTAATTTTTCTCAGCGTTATTCATTATGATCATAACATATGTTGCTAAGTTTAAGGTTTTAGACATCTCTGCTGCTCATCAGGTGCCATATGTCATGGAGTACAGTAGAGTCCCGTACAATACACAAATAAAGCAAGGAACACCCTTGAATTTTGTCAATCAGAGGTATATATTTTTTCAACTTATAGGCCAAGGGTTAAACTTTCATAAATCATGTGTAATGCAGGTTTCGATAATGCAATTTCCTATAATGCATAACGAATCCCCACGTTGTATGGGACTCTACTGTAATAACAAGTAATATGATTTTCATTTATTAAAGATTTGCAGTTTTTTTAATTCTGTGTACAGGCGGAGATTTACTACTATGCTTATAAGGTGCAAAATTTATTTAAATTAATAAAGCACTAAGGAACACAAGGAAATTATTAAAACTTAGGAATAGCTCAATAACATGTATTAGATGAGAAAAAAGAAAATTATTCCAAC